GGACCAATCCATAAATGTTCTCAGGTACCGGACCTAAATTTCAAAACAACGCTGCTCCCCTGCAGCGGGCACATTTCTAACGCAATCCAGCGGCGGCGCAGCTGGTGTCATCCGCAGCGTCTTCAAGCGGCATTGGACGCATGACTCCCCATGATTGCAGCATCCGCTGGGTTCTCACGAAGCCGGGGCAAAACTGCAGAGTAATGGCACCAAACCCTCGCGCGCCGCGTGCCCGTCCCGCGTACGCTGACTCGGCTGTTTGTCACGAGACGTTGCCGGGCGCGGGTGGGCAGCCGCCAGGCGGCACGGCGTGGCGGGCCCTGCGCCGGCTAAAACATGGCACCGCAGCCCGGTCAGGGGGCCCCGGGCTCCAAACATGGCACCGCAGCGCGGGATGGCGAGACAGGATGCAGACGCGTGGACCTGATGGCCCGATGGGACTGGTCTGTCATTATTTAAAAGACCTGATGACCCGAGGGGATTAGTCTGTCTTCAATATTCAAAAGGGTGGTGGGCGTAAGTATAAGGGTACTCATTCTTATGCCATGTAGCCTCCTCCATTCCTCGTCAGGCGTTTCCCTCCCTCCCCGCAAGCTCACCGGAGAGCGTCATTACAGATACCGTTTATCTATCGACGCCCGTCCTGCCGCCGTCACGGCATGGCGTCTTAAACTCTTAGTCGTGACGATGACGGTCAAACGCCGCCCGCCTCTACAGCCGCCCAGCCTCGCCCGCAGCCCGCGGTCCGGCGCCGCCCGGGCGCCGCAGCGTGCGCGCGCGCGCGCTGGCTCGCCGGCTTGCCACGGTCACCCTGCCGCACGCGGGGGACCTGGCCCGCCAGCCGGCGCGGCTCCGGTGCCCGGCCCGCCGGCTCGCCACGGTCACCCTGCCGCGCGCGGGGACCCGGTCCGCCAGGCCGGCGCGGGCTCCGGTTGGCCGCCCCTTCGCCGCGCTTGCACGGCCACCCTGCCGCGCTCAGGGACCCGACCGCCCGCCGGCGCGGCTCCGGTGCCGGCCGCGCCGAGCGGCGGCGCTGCGGGCGGCCGCGCCGGCGTGTGACGAGCTGCGGCGGGAGGCGCTGCGCCACTTGTCGACGGATCGAGCACAGTGGTCCGCGCGAGACGGACTGACCAACGCGCTGATACACTTTCGCACGCGCGCCCGCTTACTGGAGGCGCTGGCCGTGAAACGGCGCCGGGCGGCCGGCTCCACAAACAAGCCTGAGAACGCGGCTTACGGCTCCTTCGCGCGCGAGATGCTACGGGCCGGTGACTGCTGTGCGGTCGGCTTTGGCTAGCGGTGATGCATCTGGTTGCGATGGCCGAACTAGCGGTCGAAAACGGGCAATGCGCTGGTGAATAACCAGCGAGCCTCTAATCACACGCGAGTCCCTGTCACAGCAGTCGCAGAGGCTTGCGAAGTGCCACCCCGTGATTCGATAATAGAGGCTGGCTTTATGGTTAGAGAGCAGATTGATGGTTCTCAGCCTCTGTTGCTGCTTAACTGCACAAACTCTTAGCATCGTGTTCCGCCAGCTCTGCTTGCTTTGCCCGTGGGTGCGGTGTCAAATTAAAAAGCACGAAAGGCCCAAAGAATCGTGGACTGTCACTCCATGGACTGTCAAGCAGAAGGCTGGCTTATAGACGACCCCATCTGCTAAAAGTGCTCTGCCGGATATCTCTCTGCAGAAGTAGATTGATGAGTTCTACGTCATGGGCCGGGCTCTGGGTGGCAACCAATGACGTCAGTAAACCATAACCGGTGCCAGCACCTGAATTATTTACCCAAGCTGGTCTTTTCAAGATCGCTGTCGCCATGTGAAGCCCAATGTCATTTGCCGCTTTAGAGTGAGATATGACAGGTCACCGCAGCCACGTGCCAGATCAGTCAGATGGGCTCCCCAACGGCTCGCGCGAGCCATGCATTATGCATGGTGATGTCGCTGCGCAGAGTGGGTGCAACGGACGCGAGCCACTGGTTTTGAATGCTGCTGCTTTAATAGCATCCTCTTCCAGCCGGCATATCCTCCATGTCGGCAGGCGCTGATCGGCTCGAACCAGTTATACGAGGAGTTGGTTACAACAGGCAACTTAAGATTACATGTACGCCAGCTACTTGCCCGCATTTATCCTTGGAAATTAATCAATTTTGCTATCGATGCTTACATCGGGCTTATAAACACTCTCAGCAAATAGCTATACTGGAGTAAAGAAAGTATCTAACAGAATCTACAGAAGCTGAAATAACGGCTATTACGACAATGTCTTGCTGTTTCTGTTCATAGGAGCAGAGTTTTGTAAAATGTAACGATTTGTCACTGCGCAAGTACATTCTCCCGCATTTCACGTAAGGTATTAAATTATGCCGGCCATCAAGCATGCTGGCCATGAGGCCTGCATGTATATAGTGTTTTGCTAGTAAGTACGCGCCAACCGGAGCTTCAGATGCTGCGAGCGGAAGTTCCTCTGACGTTTGATGTCCCTGCCGCCCCGGGTCGGTGCACCTGAAGTGTCCCGCGTTCTCCGGGGCAGCGGCACCGCCTAGCCGACGGGCCAGCGGCCGCCCCCAGCCAGCGGCAGGCGGCGCCGCCCAGCCAGCGGGTCAGCCCCCGCTGTTGGAACGCTGACACACAGCCGGCCGGGGGGGGGGGGAGGGGGAGGGAGAGGGCTCACACGGCCGGTGGTCACCACTGCGCGGTTGTATATCTGGCGGGAGGCTGCCTATCAGGAGATCAGTGGGCACCTCGCCGCTGTGGCGCCCGCTCGAGCGGGGCGCGCGATGGTCGGAGCCGCGACGCGCCGTGCTTCGGAGAGGCCGAGCCAACCAGCTGGACTCAGCGGGTTTGCCAACACGGCGGGTATTTTTTCGCGAAGGTTTGCAGAGTTTAGACCACCGGCTCCGGATGGGAGCGTCTTGGAATCAGCTGATGTGACGTATGGCTGCGGCCCGGTTCGGTGTCGGAGATCTGCGTCAGCTGAATGACGGGTGAGTCATTCGCTCCCGCGGCCATGAGTCACAAACCAGATTACACGTACTCTAAGTGCGCTGAACGACTTTCCCTGATTCATCGGCGGAAACAGCACCATTGTGTTGGTCGTAAGAACTGGTGACACATCTCGAAGCCATGGAAGCGTAGCGCATTTTATTTCCATCCGCGGGCAGGCGTGTCCCGACGATAGAAACACCAGCCCCAGACGACTCGACTCCTGGTCAAATACAGTGCTGAGCTAGAGCTAGAGCTAGATACTAAGCTGAGCTAGAGCTGGAGCTCGATACTTAGCTCAGCGATTCGCTCTCGGGTCGGCCGCATGGCCGAACGGGCTCGCTTCGGGCGCCTGACAACAAAAGCATCTGGCGTTCGCCATAGCAACAGGCTCGCCAGCGGGCTTGCATGCAGAAGGTCAGCAGGAGGCTACGTGCCGAACGAAAAGATGGCCGCATAAGATGCATGCACTGGGCTGCCAATACATGTTACGTGTGCAGCTGCGTGACATGATTTACATCCATGCGCACCATTGTGGGCTCTGGGTATGCTGGAACATGTGTGCGCGCCACATTCATATCTGATAATGTAAATCACCTGTCCCTGCTTTTCGGAGCGCGTTGTGTTCAGCGGCTGTCAAATGTCACTCCCAGTGGCCGTCGCCGGGCTGGCCTGTCGGGCATTCACTGGGTCAGAAGCAGCCGAATCGGACCACATTGCCGAAAAACGCGGACCGGCCCCGCCTGCGCCACATACCGCAGAGGCGCCGGCCGTGCAGTGCGGGGCCGGGGCGTCCGCAGGTGGGTACGCCAGACCGGCAGGGCGGAGGGGGGGGGGGGGGGGTACAGCGATGCAGTCCTCGCAGAGGGCGTGTGCTCGGCCTCGGAGCGGCGCTGGCGAGCCTGCCCCGATGTAATAGTCGTGGCGCTGCAGTTGTGGGGTGGTTGCTCGCGGCGTGGGCGGAACGGCACGAGTCGCGGGTTCGACGACTGGGGTGTGGGAGCACGCCGGGTGGGTGGGAGCACGCCCGATGGGTGGGAGCACAGCGTGGATGGGAGCGCGCCGTCAGCCGCCTCGTCGCGAGGTCAAGTCCGGGGCCGGCAGGCGCCAAGCGAGGTCACTGACCCGCCAGCCGGACACTTTCCCTCCGTCGGACACTCTCGCCGCGCCATCCGCCGCTCCGGCGCTGCTTGCATGGCCGCGACGGGCCGGCTCAGCCGGTATCAGCCCCCGATCCGGGGGGAGGGGGGCGTGCAGGGCCCTGTGGCGTGAGGCGCTGCAGTGACACTGAGCCAGCCGTCACCGCGCTGCGGGGCCCCCGCCGCCCGGCTCGGCTCGACACCGGCCCGGGCGGCCGCAGCCGCACCACGTGACCGTTTCCGGCCGGCCGCCGTGGGCGGTGAATAGGCAGCAGCAGCGCGGGCTCCATGGCGGGCACTGGCGCCTGGCGTGACGGTCTTGGCCCGCTGAGCGAAAGAGAGAAGAGGCAGATGTCGAGTCGTTCGCCTCCGTCGCATATGCCTTTTTGCGTTTCAGTCGCTTTCATACCTGTTTTGCTTTCCAGATGTTCGACCGCCCGAGGCAGCTGGGCACGAGCAATCAGTTATTCTGTGGGACTGGGAGGTTTCATCTACAATCACGTATAGTAATCGTCCATATAATTATCCATAATACTGTGCACCTCTTACGTTATTTTTCGTCCATATAGGAACATCAACTTCTCATTGGCTTTCTCAAAGTCGGGAGGCGGGGCTATTTTCCATTCGTAGCGGCTGTCCTGTTCCAGGACTACTGCGTTCTCCCTCTTGGCGCGAGAAGGATGACCTTAGAGTGACCTCATCGAGACACGCCGTCTGTGTCCGCCTGCCTGACCCCGGCTTCCTGCCTTGTCCAACAGGTGACCGCCGCGCGCCCCCATCGGAGAGAGTGGCCGGCGCAGCCGCACCGCGCCGCCGTGCCAGCACGCGCCGGCCCGCGCCGCCGCCGTCCGTGACGTCACCGGTGACGTCACCGCGCCGGCAGGTGCGGCCGCGGCCGCGGCGGCCGGTGGGCGGCAGTGACTGCGACGTACCGAGCGGTGGAGGAGCGACAACAGCGGCGCGCGCAACCAGTGGTGCGGACTGCACGAAGCGCCGGCAGCGGCGACCGCACTGCCGCCGTTGGTGACGACAGGAGACCACCTGCAGGCGGTGACGGGGGAGGAGGACCGCGGAGGCAGGTCGGCCGGGATGGCGGCCAGCGCGCTCATGGCGCGCCTCACCCGGCGCTGGAGGAAGCGCAGCGTCGACATCACCGAGGAGGACCCCACGTTCAAGACGGTCTACCTCGGCAACACCGTCACGCAGTGGGCTAAGGGTGAGTGGCCGGGGAGCGGCGGCGGGCACGGCTCCGCGCGCCGCGCTCGTGCACGGGCTCGGCTTACACGGCGCTAGTGATCCGAGCACGAAAGTCTCGGGCAGCTGCCTGGTGATGTGTGCCCGGGGGCGTCGGCTAATCTCATCGAGGCTCCGTCCCGCGCGAGTTGATGGTTTCACAGTTTCGCAATCGGGTAACGGCACGGCCTTTCGACCATCTTTATGTGAGACGGCAGGTGGGCAGATTCAAGGGTTTTTTGGAAGCATGAGACCAATACGTCTCATGCAGACATGTGATGCCATCAAAGACCTCGCACTATTGCGAGTGACCTCGCTGGTTCCAGGAGGTGTTGATCGGTGTCGCGTTTCATGAATTTAAGGCCTTCATTGCCTGCAGAGTTTTATAACGTCGTCAGTCCAGCCCTGCCTGCTCCAGATCGGTACCATAAGAGGAAACCGGCATGGTTTGCTGACTCCGCTGCGGCCATGCGGATTTTATTGTGTTCAGATCAGCCCACGATCCGACGTTTTCTGGAATAATCGAGGTCCGCGTAGTTCCGGTTCCAATGCCGCTCCCAATGACCGGTACTGATACGTCGCCGGCTGTTAACGCCGAGGCACCGACGCCTCCATACCTGTTTGCGCTAAGCTCACCCTCCAGCGCGTATGTGGGTGTTTTTGTTTTTTTAGTGTCGAAAGGCTTGCATTGCGTCAGCATTAATTCATGCTGGTTTGCCGAATCGGGCAAGCTGAAAATCAGACGTGGCAGGCATAACGTGACGTGCTCGTCTCTGGAGTCACGGAGTCCATGAATGGAAAGAATCAAATGGAAACCGGCCGGTCCCTTACCCAGGCGGGAGCGTTGGCGATGGTCGGTTATTTTTCACAGTCTGGGACAAGTTTCCTCAGCATGTTTTTGTGAACGACTGGCAAAATTCTGCACGAGTGCCTAGTATATGCCATATCCGTCCATAGCCTGAGCGGCAGCCGCGCTGTTCGCCATCAGGCGGCGCGTCACGTGGATCGATGGTGTTTACCCGGTCCGGGCCCCGGCCACCGAGCTGGTTGTGTACCACCACCCTCGCATTCCAATAGGAGCGGGCGCCAGCGGCGGTGGCCGGCGGGACGCGGCGCCAGCTGCGGACAGGTCCGGCCGTCGGGCCGACAGGTGCGCTCGAAGTCACCGGCGGGGCCGCCGCGCCGCTGGCGAGGCGGCGACCCGCCGCCGGAGCCGGACGCGACGGCTGGCGGTCGGCTGGGGGGGGGGGGGGGGGGGGTGCGGGGGGAGGGGGAGGGGGGGAGGTGGTGTGATCAGTCCGAGGACAATGCCTTCCGCGCGTTTTTGTTCGCGCGGCGCGCGGACGTCGTCAGGTGGGATTCGTCGGCACGGTCGCAAGGGGCGGCGGTTGTGATGACGATCGAGAGGGAAGGGGCGCTGAGCGGCCCGGCGCCCGCCGACCACCGGAGGGCGCGCGCGGTCCGTGGCGCCTGCGGGCCCGGGCTGCTTCGGTGCCCTTGGTCGCCCGCCCCCTCCGCCGTGAAGGCGGAAGACAACTGTCGTTTCTGCGCTTGGTCAAGGGCGCCGAGAGACTGCGCCGACCGAGATAATACACGCGGTCTCCTGTCGCGATCACACAGGCCGCACGCGAGCGGTCGCGCCGGCCGGCTGGGCTCTTCTCGTCGCTTGTTCAGCGACGGCTAATCTCCAGGAAGAAACTGGGCTTGTTCGCAAACCTCAGCTATTGTGGCGAGCGGGAGGCTTCCGCGAGTGCCCGCTCGGTCTGGACATCCCGCCACCAGCGAGGTCGCGCACTCGCTGCCTGCCCGGACTCGCCACTCGGTCCCCACCGGGCCGTCCGCCCAGCGCACCGGGAAGCGAGCCGTCCCAGTGTAAGCGGTGTCCAAGGTGCGCGAAGGTCTCCACTTGCGGAAGCGGGCCGCGCCTCTTCCGATCCCGCCGGCTTATTTCCTCGGCGATCTCAAAGCGAAGGGGCGGTCACACCTCGCCGAGAAACTCATGGACACAGCCACGGGCGGATAATGACCTGGAACGAGTTGGTGAGTCAGAGTTGTCGGAGCAATCATCTTTCAGAGACAACATGTCAAAGTGGGACTCATAAACATTGCATCAACATTCATATAATATATATATTCATAAATATTACATAAACATTCTCAGAAACATTGGCGTGACCGTTCCCGCGCCCGATGTGCTGTATTCTCCACTCGCGAGTACGCTCGCGTCGCCATCACCTGAGAACGCTCTCCGCCACCCCAGCGGCACCACCCGCGGTGCTCGCACGCGTGGCCGCGTGACGCGTGTGTGTGACCCGGGCCCAGTCACGCGTCACGCGCCACGCGCGTTTCCAAACGGCCAGTGACGCGGCGTGCCAGCCCGTGGCGCGGCCGGCGAGCGGCGTTGCACGGCGTCTTGCCTCACGCCACGGCACCGCGGTGTGGAAACAGCTGATTGTTGCCCGGCCTGCGAGCCGGGTGCGCCGGCGTGAGCTGCTGACGGCGCGGGCCGAACAGCTGCCGCGTCCGCCATCCGGGACTGCAGGCCGGCCGGGGAAAGCAGCGGGAGTCGTTCCCGGGCCGGCCGAAATCGGACACCAGGTGCGATAGGCCAGCTGATATGTGCAACCGTGCATTCACTGCCATGGGGAACGAAAGAGCTGTCCTGCATGGCGGAACACCGGGCCTATGTGGTGCAATGTTTATCTAAGCCGGATGTGACTCAGCTGTGCACAGGTGGCTGTCGGGTTTTACTGTCGGAGTTCGTGTCGGCGACTGCTGGCACAGTTTACATGGGTCGTCTCCCGCGCGGGAAGTGTCTCAAGCAATGCAATCAGGGGAGGATGCTGGGCAAATATTGCTGCCGACGGCTGTCGGTAACTCAGTCCAGTGGTTTGAATTGGATTGGACTCACGAGAAATTGGATTTGATTTCTCTCTGAACGAACAGACCAATTTTTGTCGCTGCATTCGATGTAGCGAGGTATGCTGTTCAGGCCAGAACGACATTTTGCACGAAGTTCTTTTTCATTTCTAAAAAGAGTGAATGTGGCTTGACCTGGCCCAGGTGGGCGGAACGTAATGATATCAGGACGCAGCGCCCGATACCTGCCATGGAATTCTAAATTGATGTCTTTCGATAATGCTACCCCTAGAAAAAACACCTTATTTTCTTGACGCTATACTCAGCTCTCCAGAGCCGTTCCGCTGCTGGTGACGTACCCCATCATTCCCTGTGAACCGGACCTACAACGCCGAACAGTGTTGAACTCAGCTCGTTGTTTGCACGGGCCATTTCCATGGCGCTGCACACTTCCCGTTCCGCCGTTTATTTCCTGGTCTTTACCGCCTGCCGCGGCTTCGGCGGCGAGCGTAGGGACCGCCACGGCAAACAGCGACGACAAACACGACGTCCCACGCTTGTGGCCGTTCCTCAGGAGGAAAAGACGGGACCCCTCGCTCTATTGTGCTGCTCCAGGAAAAGGCCGCGAGGACGCGCCGTGTGAGCGCCGCCTGCCGTGAGGGAATCCGAGTTCCGGGGGGCGCACCGCGGGCCGTCGCGTTACACGTGACGCTCGCTGTTGCGAGTGCTCGGTAACCTATGGCGCGGTGTATGTTTACCTAGGCTGCAGCATTGTTTCACGGTTGGATAATATGACCGATTTACCAGTTCCTTGCGTGTTAGGCGCTGGTGCTGCCCTACGTGCTGGTATTGCGATGAACCTTGCCTTGATGTGAGGGGTATGGTGCATAGCAGCTATGCATTACGAAGGGCACTAAACACTGTCCTGATGCTGGGAGGGCTTGGCGCATGGCAACCACGTGCGCTTGCAGAGAGCTGAGCCGTCCTCACGGCGCCATGACCTTACTTTACCGCCGCCACCGCTTGCGCGCTCCAGCCTGCAGTACGTGCCCGGTCAGCTGAAATGCCTCATGGGAGCGCTATAGTCATAAAACTGTCTGCGCTGCACGGCCCGCGATGGCCAGCTCCACCGCATGCCGCGTCTGATGGGGGCGCTGTCGTTGTGGCCGTGCTGCCCCCCCCCCCCTCCCCTCCTCTGCCCAGCTGCTATCGTGGTCGTGTTGCCCCGCCTGACGTGGCGCGCTGTTGCAGGCAGCGGCAGCGTCGACAAGCCGCTGGCCACGCTCTGGAGGAACTACTGCCAGTCGACCAAGCCCGACATCGAGATGCGCGTGACGATCGCCGTCTCTGGCCTGAAGGCGACCACGCGCGAGCACGGCCTGACCGAGTACTGGAGCCACCGCATCACCAACGCCTACGCCCACCCCAGCTACCCCAAGGTGAGCGGACGGCGGACGGCGGACGGCGGACGGCGGATGGTGGACGGCGGCGTCTGGCGCCCAGGGGGATGGGTGTGAAACGGCTGGATGTGAGATGTCGTGTGACTGTGGCTGTCTGTGAACGGGCAGCACGGAGGTCAATGCAGTGCTGGAATAAGTGAGATTGTGTTGTGCGCTTCGTGAGTGTACGTCATCAGTGGTGCGAGAACGGGCTCGAGCCTGGTTTTTGAGAAGCAGGGTGTCGACTCCTTTGAGCTTCCTTTGGATTCGTGCCGGGAACACTTATCGACTCTGGTCGCGCGTGACGGCAGACTCTGGCGTCGCGTCTCCCTCCCAGGCAGCCGGCACCGGCCAGGAGCGCTGTTTTTGCGGCCTGTCCTTGGCTGCTGGAGGCGGCCTGGAGGCGCCACCCGGATATTTCCATCACTGAAGCGATGCCTCAACGCCGTCCACGGCGACCTGTCCGTTGGCGGGCGATGTGATGTCAAGGCTGAACTTACCAGCGTCTTCCCCTTCCTTGTCAGCGGTGCTGTCGGCAGGACTTCCCCAGGTGCCCCTGTACCGGCTGCCCTCGTGCTGAAGCGATCCCAGGACACTCATGCACCCGTCCCCAGTATCCTTCCCTGCCCAGCGGACCAGCGGAGTGGGGGGGGAGGGGGTCTCATGGGCCAGCCTTGCGCTGCGCCGGAGCCGTGCAGCGCTCTGCACTCGGCGCTGTGTGCCTTTTGATATGGCGCCGTAATAAGGTAGGCGGGCGGGGCTGACCTTTGTTTTATCTTAACGGCCGCCCGTTAAATAGCAATCGCCGCCGCCAGCTGCCGTGGAAAAAAAATGTGCGGGGTTACGTAACCCATGGCGTCGGCGGTAGGGGAAGGCGGGGGTCGGCTACCTGTCCGGTGCCTGCTGAACCCTCAGCAAATCCAGGGGGCGGTGACCGCTGGAGGTGGAGCCGTCGGCAGACCTGACGGTCGTGCTCCGCACTGTGACGGCGGTCGTGCCTCCGCTTCCAGCGGCGTTCCCGGCGCGGGGAGGGGGCACTCACTTTCGTGCGGCGCGCTCACCGAGCTGGCTCGGGTGACAGGCACTCTTACCCTGTTTAACTACCTCGGTTCGGCTACTTTTCGTTGTGGAGTTGGTCGTGGAGCAGAAAGATTGCATCACGTCAGCCGGCAGGTCATGTCTATCGTGTCTCGTCACAGCCACAGCATATCGCGCAAGTAATGCTGAGTCGGATTAAAAGCCGCTTTAAAGCATCGCCACCTTAATAAATCGGGTTACCATGCTTTCCGCCTCGAGGAAAGTCGCGGTTCGCTTCGCCGGCCGTGGCGAGGTTTCGCCCATCAGCCGTCGACACGGGTTGGCTGGCCGCCTCCGCGCGTGTCGTCATCGTCAAACGCGGCAGCCGGGGGCGGGCCGGGTCGGCGCGGCCTGTCGGCGCCGCTCCCACCGGACCGGACCGGACCGGACCGGACCAGCTGCTGCCGGGCTAGCGCTCGCCGCGGCCGGCCGGTGGGCCAGCCCCGCGCCGCTGAGCGGCTTCACCCGGTAATTGGACGAGGATCACGTGACGCCCTGCCGTGCCGTGCCGTGCCGGCCGGGGCGGGCTATAACTGGACGGTGCGCTGCCGTGGCCCGTGCGTGGTGTCGCAGCGTCTCCGCAGCGAGCGTAATGCGCACATCCTGCGCCACGCAATTAACCGCGGTGGTCCAAAAAAAGGTCGCAAAAAGGTGGCTGCGCAGTTGGCGACAAATTTTCCTCCATCCCGTGGTGGAGCTGGGATAACATGGCAAGAATCTTGAGGCAGCATCCGCACTGGCTGTGCTGAAAACAGTCTGATGGTTGCATTTTGGCGGCGCGGCCCAGCCTCTGATAACCTGGGAATGTTAGCCAGCACCAAATAAATTCCGGTGTGCTGGCGTGTTGCGCCCTGCTTGGAGCCGCGCGCGGTGGCTCCTGGTCCGTTGGACCCTTCGCCGTGCCTACACCTCAGCATCAAATAATTACCTGCGCCCTGGGGCCGGACGACTGTGGCCGGCTGGTCGAGCGATCAGCTCCAGCGTTGCGCGCCTGCGGGATCGCTGTATGATACATATCGCCGGTTGCAAACAACGCCTTGGGGCGGACGACGCGGGAGTGAGTCTGTTCTTGCGGAGCGGCCCGCAACGCCGCCCAGGCCACCGGAATAGAGCTCCGCCCTCGGGTTTCCACGCCCACATTCGGTTCGTCGGCACCACTGAAATGAAAATGGTGAGCGTGGCGACAAAATGCAGCGTTTTCCCTTTCTCAAGGTTTTAAGGCTTGGCTGTGGGAAATAAATGACCAGTTAAGCACATTACGCGACAGGCGTTGACTCACTAGTGCTTTTCCAGCCTTCACCGCGTGTTTTCAATTGATTGTCGGAGTGTGCGCGCGCGACAAACAAACCGTGAAATGAACGCTTGTCAGGCTGGTGCCTGGAAACGAATTGCCACAAATTGCCATCGGAGAGAAAGATGAACTGAGCCCTTGGGTCTTCTCCGTATTTGACCCTGAACGGTTCTTAGTCATTGAGCTGCGAACACCGTAATAATACAGCGCGGCGCACAAGGTCAACAATCATCGCGAGCGCATCCTGATGTGTCGGGATGCGCTAGGGGTCAACCACTGCGACCATCATTTGCACGAAGTCCACCGACCAACACCATCCAGAATCGTCGGAATCAATGCGTAATCCAGCGCCGACCCTGTAGAAATGTCGTGTTATGAGCACGAGCGCAATCTGTGCCATCTTTGGGGCAATCGTCGCTTCCGCTGGTAGTGAGCAGCTTTTCGCGGAGCCAGTGGTTAGCATTACACAACAAGAAGTTGACGTAAGTCGGAGCAGCTGCTTTGCACTAGCACTCGAACAGCTGTGCGCAGCGCACAATCCCAGACACAATGGCGCTCTGCTGCAGTCGTCGGGCTGTATAAACCCCGTTCTTATGTTTGGAGCCGGCTTCGGGGTTGCGGAGGGCGGTGCGCCCCATCGCACCACGTAGCAGACCGGTCCAGTCCGGGTCGAACCGGACCAGACCGGTTCGGAGGGGCAGTGGACCGCGTGCGTCCCGCGCCCCACGCGCCGCCCGGCCGTCCATATGGCGTGAGCGGCGCCTAACGGCATGCGAACGCGCCATGACCCGGCCTCGCGATGCCATCTCATTGTCCGGGAGCAGCCGCCGTGAACGGCTATCGGCGACATTTGGCTGCCGGCGCCGGCGTCGGCGGGCCCGGGCACGCTGGCGGAGCGGCCCGGCCGCCCGCGACCAGGCGGGGTCGGCGCGAGACACTCCCGGGCGGTGTGCCGGGGCTGGAGCACGGGCTCACGCCCGGCTCTGCAGCGGCTGCTCGTGATGTACGCCGGCGCGGGCGGCGGGCACCTCGGTGCGGGAGAGTCCCGAGGAAGTAGGTCAGCGAGCGTGGGGTCCAGCTGGCGTCGAGAGGACGACTTAGGGGCGCCGTGAGCGATGCAAGTGAGCCCCGCCGACCGACCACGCACTGCGCAGGGTGATGTCCGGGATAGGGGCGGTGAGGCCCCTACTGACGGCTGACCGGGGCGGCTTCCACCACATCGCCGGCTCTTGACGCTGCAGGCGCCTCTGCCGCGGCCGGTTTGGGTGCGGCCTGGCCCGGTCCGGCCTGCGGCGGTCCGGCTGTGTGCTGTGCGGTCTCGGACGCACGCACTCTGTGTGCGCAAATGGCGCGTCCAAGGTCGCACTCACGCGGCGTCCAAGACGCGTGGCCTCGCCCGCCAGACAACGTTTGCGGACAGCTCGATATTGATGCGGCGCCGGTTCCCTCATTGGCTCGTTATGCATTGGCATCCGCCTGAATAAACAGTTTATTTCGGGCGGAATTGTGCGACGTCCGCACGAGGTTGTTTTGCAAGTGAGAGCCCTATTGGCGCCCGTTGCACGTCTACTGTGCGCCACATTCCCTGCATGTCTGTACTGAGTTATGCGCGTCCATGCTGGAGCGCCGACGCCGTCGCCAGGCTCTATCTCAACGGGCCGTGCCGTCTGAACTGTGCCCCGGTCCGACCCTCCCACCCAATGTTCCCATGAGCGTCCGCGTACTTTGCCTCGGCGTCCGTGTCCCGTCTGCGTGCAGTTCCCCATGGGTTGGCCTTGTCTCGATGGTGCAGTCGTCCTCCTCCCACGACACCCTGTCCTCGCAGTGTTTACTCCGCCGTCCTCCTCCGACCTGCTCCGCGCCCCAGCCGGATCTCTGACGCTCCCTGTCCGTTCGCAGATGTTCTGCTGGGTGTACCGACACGAGGGGCGCAAGATGAAGCCGGAGCTACGCTGCCACGCCGTGCTGTGCTCGTCCGAGGCCAAGGCGCGCCTCATGGAGCGCCACCTGACCGAGCGGCTGCACCAGGCGCTCGTCGAGTTCCGCAAGGAAAAGCAGCTGCGCCAGAACGCGCGCCTCTCCGTGGTCAGCGTGCTGTACCCGAGCACGCCGCGGCGCAAGGTGGTGCTCACGAGCGGAGGCGTCAACTACCGGCCGCCGCTCGAGCGCAGCAAGAGCGCGCCCAAGCTGAGCAGCATCGAGGAGGACCGTGAGGGCGAGGAGATCGCCGCTCGCGACGACGCGCGCCGCCTGGCGGCGGCGGCGGCGGCGGCGGCGGCCGAGCGCGCGCCGCCGGCGGCGCCGCCGCGGCCCCGCGCGCTCAGCGAGCCGATCGTGCCGCCGCCGGTGGTGAGCTGCGACCCGCACGCGGGCGCCGCCTCCGCCTCCAGCGACGACTCCGAGAGCGACTCGGACACGGCCAGCGAGCGCAGCGCGACGAGCGTACCCAGCGATCCGACGGCCGACAGCGACTGCGAGACGACGCTGCTGGAGACGGCCGGCCCGTGTCGCGTGTACCACTTGAGCGCCCGCTCGCCGACCGGCCGCCGGCTGGCCGATGACGTGCGGCTGGAGGTGCGCCGGCGCGTGGCTGAGCTCGAGCTGGGGCAGGCCTGGTCGCAGCCGCCAGACGACAGCGACGACAGCGCCAGCGACGAAAGCGGCTACGCCGAAGAGGTCGGTCGCGTCGCCTGAGGCGGCGCGCCGTCCGCGTGAGTCTAGTCAGCGCCCCGCGCCGGGGCGCCACCCGCCGCTGAGGAAGTTTGCGTGCCAAATCTCCGCTCAGAACCGTCTGTCTGTCCCTGTGACGTGACGAGACGCGATGTGACGTCTGTGACGTCACGAGACGCGATGTGACGCGGCTGGCCGGCGGCTGCGTCGCATCGGCGTCTGGTTCGTCTCGGCGCTGGCCGAGGTGCACCACGACGTCCGCGTCCTTGTCTGTGTTGTAGCCGTGCTGGAGACGGCTGCCTGCCTTTGCCGCCAGCCAGCTCTTCGTCCCTGTTCCGTATGAACGCGCTGGCGCGCTTGTACTGGTCGTGCAGGAGCCCGCGCAGCTTGTTTGGGGCGTGTTTCTGTGCCCCGCGTACAGCTGTCGCCGCTGTTGGATTTTGAGGCGTTTGTATGGGAGCCCGCGCTCACTCGACCAGTGTGGAGCACCTGGTCTGGTACCGACTGGAAACTCTCCTGAACGAAGGAGCCTGTTGCCGAACTTTGTCTTGTTGCCAGGATTGTGTTAATCGGCAGATATTATTGAGGGTATGCAACTGTCCACGAGAATGTGATACATGCAACTAATATAGAAGTACAAGAGATAACAGTGTGCAGTATCCTTAGCGAAATAAAGGAGAGACACTACTTACCGAGCTTTCAATGGTTCGCGGAATCATGGTTGCACAATCATCTCAGTAAGCCGGCGCCAGTTCCGAAGCGCGCTTCTCGCTGCGTATAAAGGCTTGATACGCGAGCAGAGTCGTATGCTGCAATCCATCACTGTTCCTAACAGACGTGAGTGAAAGGGGCTTGGTATAGTTCACCTTTGCACTCTAGCCTGCTACAAGGACCACCGCGGGGAGGGCCTTGGTCCGGCGCGCTGGCCAATCGCAAGCACCTGAATCCATTTCTCCCAGCCTAGTCTCAAGCTTAGCTGACATTTTGCGCCGCGGGGCGGGACAGCACGGACACCAGGGACCCCCCCCCCCCCTCATCTCTCAGCCAGTGCCGCTAACGGCAAACCGGTGGGTGTCACCTTCCGGCGGCGGTCTGCGCCTCAGCACCTGACGCGCTGAGCCTCTGCCCTTGCTGCGGAGCTGCGGACCTGGTCGAGGCACTTCCGCCGCCGGCTCCGGCTTCGGGCTGGCCGTGTCCGGGGCGTGGAAGCCGGCTATGGCTTCCGACAGACGCCAAGGCTGCGCGCCGCGGCCGTTTCTAGGTCACGACCGGCGGCCGGGCGCCCCGCCGAACGCGGCACAGTCGCGCCCGGCAGTTGCACCGATTCGCATTAGCGTCGTCTCGCCTTGCACGCAAGCGCGACGGTGAATTTACTTCCGGCGACGAAAGCGTGACGCCCTGGGCCTGTCGCTGGCAGTTGGACGGTCGCTGCTGTGGCCGGATCTGGCGTGGCCGCCAAAAGTGCTTGGCGTAGGTGACGAAAGAAGTGCATAGTTTTCAGACGACTGCCCATCGAAACCACGGCCGCCTCGCTCGCGCACCTAGCGCCGGAGAACAACCGCTGCCGTTCAGATCAGATGCGGATGGATGGCTTATTCATGATCTCTCCACCGCCACGAAACCATTGCCGCGAAACGACCACGTGGTCAATAATACCCCGCGACACGCGCTCGCCAACAATAACCCGAGCGCGCCATGACGAGCGTGTCTTATGACGGCCCGTCCGAGCCGCGGAGCACCGGAGCTCATCAGAAGTTCGTCACGCCAATCCCCTGTCGGCGCGTCCGGTGCGTACTGCGAAGGTCCCGGCTGGAACGGCCAGTAGCTGCGCACCTTGACCGACCGGGAGGGCGCGTCTCACCTTGAAACGCGCCGCGCCAGGCCTTGGTTCGCGCGCAAACCGACGCCGTGGCGCGCCTATGCGTCTGTGCAGATTGTCGCGGCGGTGGAAGGTGGCGCCGGACCCGCGCGGGATTTCTGTGCGATGATGAAAACCGGGTGCAGAAGCGGCGTGGAATGGTACGCCCTCAAATTAGCGGCACTGTACGGCATAAGGGCGGCTGCGTGAAGGGAATCAGTTTCTCTCTCTCGGCTATGAAAAATCCAGCAATATCCCAAGATGCAGTAAAGCAACGCATGCTAAGCCAGACAGTCCAGTCAACAGAACTCCTTTTGGCGCCCTCTTCAAGCCTGTGCGGAAGTGCAGAGCTCGGAATAAAGGGATGATGATAAAATGGATCAGTGCGAGGCCTCAAACACGGACGGTTCGATCTCCAGTATCCCCGTGCCCACGTTTGAGTAGTTTCTGTTACGAAAAACACAGAAAATGCGGCGTAATCTCTCATTTTCTTAGCGTGCCTCCAATGCGGGTAACACCGCATGACTGCACCAGAAAAACGGTAATGCCCGTAAATGGGAGGCGGAAAATGAGAACCGACCGCCAAGGCACTGCCACCTTCCGCAGAGGCCGTGTGGGATTACCAAGTCAGACACGACGACCGCAACAGGGGAGACTGCCGACGAGTCCATGCAAACTCAGTCTTGGCACCGCTTGCCCTTGTCCCGAGCCCGGATGTCGCCCTGCACGCCGAAGCAGAGGCCTTGGCCTTTTGCTCCGCCCACCGGGCTGAGTGGCACGGCCCCTAACGGTAGCGGGTCCGCGTCCCCTGACCCATTTCCGCGCACTCCGGAACTAGCGCCGGCTTTCGTTTTTCTCACGTTTCTCTCGCGCCAGTCACGGGGCTGGTCGGGCCGCCCCCGGCGCACTGTCCCAGTCGGCGATCAGGACAGGACACTGGCGTGAGCTGTCGAGCGGCGGACGTGCGGGAGCGTGCGGGGCCCGCCGATCCTTACGCCGCCAGCTGTCTGGGCGGAGAGAGCGGGGGCGGTGGAGGCGCCGGTCGCCCATTTAGCTTCGATCATCGTGTTTGAAGTCCTAGGCCGCACACCCGGTGATGTGTAGGTCAGGACCATAACCATGATCGTATACCGAGGCCATAGCTTGGTTTTAGAACAGCCAAGAACAGGTATGGACATTTATTGATGAACTGGGAAAAAGACATGCTGTAAACATGTTTACGAGCGAAGCAGCGGGTGGGCAAGTTTTTTCGTGAGCAGTAAGAAAAAAAAAGATCAGCGGTCGGGCTGGCGGGGCTGTCACGCTCTCCAAAAGTTTATGGTTTTGCAGTTCCCGAGTGCTCATAATGCCGTTTTAACGACGAGAATCGAATCATTTGAACGCCATGCTCTGGAAGTTTGAGGCATCTACATACACACTTTGTGACACGCGCTATTTTTAGAAGTTGTTGAGTGCAGTTGCGAGGAACATTATTCGCAGAGATAAGGCAGCACCAATCGCCTCATTCCTCGTAAAAACAGGAGAATAGAGATATAGATGCGTGATATTTCGGCAACATGCCTTTATCGAAACAATAGCACAAGTGAATACTGAATAAAAGTGTTCACCCCTGCTATTGTTTCAATAAAGGCATGTTGTTGAAATATCAACGCATCTATACCTCCATTCTCCTGATTTTTTTCTGCGAGGAATGAGGCTATAAGAACAATCTTATCTAGGCGCTGTTTTCCTGCAAAATTGGTGTGAGAACAAAGCATGGCCATTTTTAATAGGTCGAGGAGGGGAATATCAAATTTCAATTTTTATTCAAAACTGTGGAGACGCTGCAGAACGCGGGTTAAACCGGGGCCACATATTGACTACCCGACAACGCAGCGAGCGACACGAAGCATAAACGTGTAACTTGAGGACGGAGCGAACGACTATAGCAGCGACAGAACGGAGACCGTATTGAAAATATTTCGAATCTCCGGTAACAGAGCACACAAAGACCCGAAGTCACGTACAGAGCTTGGCCTAACGTAACACTCCCAAGCCACAGAGCGATATTATCAAAAACTCTGGCCGAACCATACGTGCGTTGGTAATTGACCGCGAGACGGTTAGTGGTTCTTTTTTCGAAACCGGTCTGTGATGCCTGGAAACCGTTGCTGTGCTGTGACCCAATGTTGTGACCCGAACCGAGTGAGACTGGGGCGGGAAAATATGCATGAGTATTATCAAGCTAGGAGCGGTTGAGGCGGGGAAGGGGCAGCGGGAGAAGTTGCTACCATCTTTCTTCATGGCGTCGTATGCAAAGAAAATAATTAGAAATCGTTTTTGCGCCTCCCCATTTGATTGCATTATGCGTCGCTATTGAGTACCTTTGACTGCGTCCAATATCCATCACACGTATTCACATTTTCTTCGTAGCACCCTGTTCACAATGACCCAAAACGTATGACATTAAAAATCCATCCATTTCGACGACTGTTAACTGCCAGGTCTGGTCAGTCCTGTACCAAGTCCATTTTCCCGTGCTTATTGTGAATAAGCACGTGAACCACCCCATGAGCATTTGCCTGTCAAAACATCACAGCGGGCGGAATTGCAATGAGAAGATCGATTTCTTCCCAAATGTGCCTGGCTTCTACAACTGGTTTTGGTGCCACGTACGCGGTAAAAATTCATAACTTTCCAAGCTTGTTTTCAACCCCTCCCCCTCCCGTGCTGGGCCCTTCATTTGGTCACTGCGTATATACGTGAGCACTTCAATGTGATATATGCACGTCCAAAAGCTGGGAGGAGCAGGGCCCGTCTTAATTCGATTATTTCCATGCATTACAAACAGGTTGCAGCTGAGCGCTTCTGAAAATGGAGGTCATGCATCGCTCTCTCTCTCTCTCTCTCTCTCTCTCTCTCTCTCTCTCTCTCTCTCTCTCTCTCTCTCTCTCTCTCTCTCTCTATGCCAATGTACTTCAGTAAATTGGCAATGAGTGAAGGTACCACTCGGCAGGTAACTGAAGAAACACATGCAAACCATCCAAAGGCCAACTCCTCCCCATAACATTTGATACATGGCGGGATCGGGGCATCACCATGGCAGGCGGCATTCAAGCAAGTACCGGCACCGATCCAGTTTCAGTGATGTGCTTCTCGTACATCCCGATCAGAACCTACAGTGATGTCCAGAAACCCAGGGGAGACCTATGGGAACAGGAACTTCTGCGGTCACCGATTTCGGGAGCTACGATGCACGCGCAGTCGGACGATAAGTATGCCATCTATACCTCACAGCACAGTGCTGCCACCTGTGTCTCACGTCGGTACGTCGGCACTGCCGCTACCACGCACGCCTGACGACCACGGCCTTCTTCCCCAGATACATCGAGCTCCACCACGCGGCATCAAGCATCGGCGCCGCAATCCAAATGTTTCAGTTCCAGAGAGACAAGAGGTTGTGCACGCTGCGCAAATACTTGAAAGAAGCGGCGGCCCACATGCAGCTAATTAAGCCGTCCTGAATATTTTACCATCTCCACTGCTACCAAGCTCCCTAGGGAATACACCGGCTGCCGGGTCATTGGGCTTCATGATACGCTGCTGCCCAGGCTTCACGGTGTGCCCCGCCCACTCACTGGCAGGAAGGATGGGCACAAGCAACAGATCGCCGCAGCACCCCCGGTACCCTCACCGTGCACCCCCAGGCACGGGAACGACCGCAGCACCTGGCCAGCGTGCGCCCCCCGCCTAGGCTTCGAGCGCCTGACCACGCACGCGTTATTGACATTGAATGAGCCGCTGGCCCACAGCCCGACTTGACTTGACCCCACTGCGGGCCTGGGCGCAGCGGCGACGGAGACTACCGTCCGACCGCCTGACGGCCGCACCCAGCTAGCGAAGCCCAGCGAGCGGGGGCGAGCCGGTCCAGCTTGTATCCTATGCGCCGTCCCGTGCCCCTCTCCGCCCATCCGCTCTGGCCGATTTTGGTCTGTTGACCGCTCCAGGCGCTCGCAGACCGCCCACACAATGAAAAGAGCGCACGTTCCGCGGAGTCTGTATTTCCCGAACCGATATATTTTAGTCGGCGTCCTTGACGAGCTTCTTGCCTCCGCGAATACGTCCGGTCCTGCGGGCGGCGATGAGACCGACCTGCCGGGCGGGCGCGGGGACGTGGTCAGACCCGAGGACACACCCGCACGCCCCACATGACCGGAGTGCACAGAAACTGAGAACAGATATGCTGGATGTGACGAACGAAAGACGAACAAGCACGGCGAAGACATGGGCGCTCACGGAAATAATTTTCGTGACAGAAACGCCAGCGAGTTGAATTAATTGTACCAATCTGAGAATCACAGTATGTTGGTCGGACTACATGCATCATCCTGGGCTGTGATGAATTAAATTCACTGAAATTTTGAATCTCTTTGATAGTTGCAAGCAGCACAACGCAACTACCCCCAACACCCTGCACCCAATGCTCACCTTCTTTCCTGGCGACTTGCCACGGGCGATGGTGGACGCCTTGCCGATATGCTGATGGTTTCCACCGCCGTGAGGATGCTCCACAGGGTTCATGCACACACCACGCACAGTGGGCCAGGCGTTCCTCTTGGCCTTGTACTTGTGGAAGGCGCGGCCAGCCTTCATGATGGGCTTGTCAGTACGTCCACCGCCGGCGATGATGCCTGCCGACGGCGCGGTCGTCCCGTCAGGGCCACCATCACACACCAACACACATAGCAGACACGCATACAGCAGTCAGAAACAGCCTCGTGGTCGATAAATGGATGAGGTTTCAGCACGGTTCTCAGTCGACAGCGATCATCATTCCCGCGGAGGGAGGGAGGGAGGGTGTCTGCCGCCGTCTCGTCGGCGGCCACACTCACCGACCATGGCGCGGTTGGTGGACGGGATCACCTTCTTGGAGCCAGACGGCAGCTTGATGCGCGTCTTCTTCGTGTCCAGGTTGTGCGACACCACCGTGGCGTAGTTGCCTGCGGACGGACCACCCGAGCGTCACACGAGGACCCTGTCATCACGCGCCAGCAAGGGACAGAGCGACGTCAGAAACAGCCTCTTGGTCGATAACGCAGAGTGTATCAGCATTAGCTTCAGCTGGAATTGTTCATCACATTTGTGGTACCAAAAAAACAAAAACAAAAAACAAACAAACAATAAACATACCCTCCACAACAGCAAGACACAATTTGTGCTTGCATCTCACAGCATCATGTCAATCAACTATCATCCAGCACCTCCCCAGTAAGCAAATACACAGCCTGTGCATGCATTATAACACAAACTGGCATCCCAAAATTAATCTGGCAGGGCATCCTGGAATTAAACATCAATTCACACTACCACAATCTGGGCCCCTTGGTGGCCAGAGCGAGCAATGTGTTGGCCCTTATCCTTTACCCCTTGGCCCAAAATTTAGACATCTGACCTGCCTAGCCCATTTGTTAAGCCACGCATTAACCACTGCCATCCATGCTGATGCTGCCTGGTCTAATGCTGACTGGCCGATTTTGAGCACGGGCGGATACAGCAGATGGTGAAACCCAAACTGGGAGGGTCATGACATAAAAAACGTCACCATGCCTGCCACCGATGTGACAAAATATTGAATCGTTGACAACTACACATTCCGGGGCACCCAGGTCAGCTGGCCTGACCCAGCCACTGACCGGACGTCCTGGCCAGCCGGCCGCGGTCGCCAGACTTCTCCTCCAGGTTGCAGATGACCGTTCCCTCGGGCATGCGGCCGACGGGCAGCACGTTGCCGATCTGCAGGGTGGCTTTCTGGCCGCAGTAGATGAACATGCCGGTGTACATGCCCTCCACGGCCAGCAGCAGCTCCTTGCGCGTCTTGTAGCGGTACGGGTCGCGGAAGTGCACGACGGCCAGCGGCGCGCCGCGGCCCGGGTCGTGAATCAACTCCTGCCAATGCCAGCAAACGTCAGCCGCACCAACACACCGACATATACACGCGCTGCATCGGGCGACACATGGCAGTGGGGCGGATGGGTTAGTTCGGAGGCAGACGATGCTGGATGTGAGGCACACAAACTGAAGTAGGTTCATCACAAGGGAGTGACAAGATCAATTCACATGCTCAGGACCAAAGTCCATCAAATCATAATGCTGAGATTAAATACTGTATAACCTAACAAAAATGGCTGTGGCAAAGGTATATCAAGACAGACTAAGACCTTTACTGAGATCAGTCCGGAACAAAAGCTGCCATGGTCTAAGCTGAGACAAAGTGAGACAAGAAAACTGCAGTCAAACAACACATTTCCCTTTGTTACCCTTATCCACTACTCTATATGCTACAAAACTTGATCCCAGTCACCCAATACATATCTCATAGCATGCATACTTGAAGAGGACATTGGTGATAGCATCGCTACCAATGGTCATGACATGGTGCCCTACCCAAGACAAACTGGCTGTCCTCTGCCATTTAGACAAATGGATCTGTCAAACATCCAAACAGCCTTACTTTGCAGACTGAAAAAAACATTAGATATAATTGCTGAATGGCAATGACCCAGAAGATAAGCCAATTGCATTCACAGAGCCATTTCCATGCCAGCTGATTTCTACTGTATCATCTCAAACTATGTTTCGGAACAGGTGCATGCATTTTGGTCATGTAATATTTACTCAGGCTTAAAATATGACAGGTCTTGATGAGATCTTATCAGGATACTGAGGCAAGAAGTGATATTTCAGGCAGGATTTGAAAAGTTGCTGCAATAATTTCTCCATGGATATAGCCCATGGCATTGGATACAAGACTAAAAAACATGGCATGTCAAACAAACTGGAAAATGTGACATCTTTAATGCACAGAAAAAAGGGGCAAATTAAAAACTGCAAGAACATGGAACACCTAACACATCCAGCAGAGCAACAACATACTGGCACCAGTCAGTTTGTGCAAAGGTGAAGTTTGAGTGTCAGGCCTGGCATGTCACCATCAGCTTCAGTGCTCACATAATGACAATGCTTCAGTGATGTTGCTGAGATCAATGCAAACAAAATGCCCTCTAAATAAACAAAAGTGAAAACTTATCAACTATCAAAGATGTCTGAACTGATGCTTTATCGTCCTTTCCACTTTTTCAAGGAGCTGCTCACACAGCCCCAACTACCAGAGATCTAACGAGAAAGGTGGGCAAGTGCAAAACTTGCTCTAAACTGCACTAGACAAGTATTGACCACCAGGGTCATGTTCCCCACTGCCATCAGCTATCTGCAAGACACAATCATTAACTGAATTCCACTTTAGTGGGTAAACCAGCCACAGACAATTGTGTACCTGATAGCCTGGCCAGACAGTAAAGCAGCTCAGAAACATGTCTGGGGCAGAACTGAACCTGCATTGGATGCATCACTGACAGGTCTGCCATGTTTCACAGGATATCTGTTTCTGCATTAGGGGTTACAGTAACCATCACCTAAAAAACAAATACTTTCTGCCCACTCAGAAAAATATACATCTACTGTGAAGGGCACCAATGCAACATCAGTGACCTAAACCTTGTCCTCACACGACTAAACAAATACCAGATCAAAATACAAGCCACTCCAATCATATTGCTTGTAGTAGCTACATGACAGTAAATATTAAATACATCTGTGCCATGAATCAGACATAATAGCTTTGCAGCTGCCAACAAGTTCAGTGCATAGACCATGCTCCAGTGAACTGTCATATTGCTTACATGGGTGATTCACAGGCAAGTATGCTGTGCAACTGTCCTTGATGCCATATAATTTATATCACCATACCTTAGCCTGAGTTTGGTGCGCACACACACACACACACACACACACACATACAAATTTACATGCACTTATGTTGCACAACCATCCACCACAGTTAACTGATTTTATGCAGACTGGGGCTCATCCATCCCAAGCTAAAGATGTATGGAGGCACAAACACAGCTAGCTGCCTTGCCCACATTACTTTGGAATCTTACCTTTACCACACCCTTGATGTATCCATGACGCTCTGCATAATCTACACTGCGGAGCTTGGGTGCTCCTTTCCTGTGCTTCGTATGCGCAGTGAAAATTGACCCTCTTCCCTTACGCTGAGCACGGATGACCCGACCCATGTTGGCCTGAAATAAAATGCATCCGGATATCAGTAATCTCTTCGCCACACGCCAATTGAGACAAACATTAAAATTATATGACACTGCAACGACACTGAAGCTGGAGCATTCACCGCATCCTAACATCACATCACAAATAAAATAGCAATACACAATTTACACCACCACTCACGGGTCCAACTTGCCGGAAAGGACGCAAAGTAGCAACGTTGCCTAGATTGTAAAATATCTTTTAGAGCTATTATGGAGTCAAGCTGCTTAAATAATAAGATATAAGTAGTAATTTCACTTTCATCAAAATACAATTTTACCTGCAATAATCTTAGTCAAAGTAGGTTTAGTCCCAAATAATTTTCCCGGCAACGCTGGTGTAACAGGGAAACAGAACGGGGCACCGTTACTACTCTTTGTGTCTGAGTCGCTAGGCTTTTACAAGCTGTGTGGGACCAACAAGACGTTCGTACACCGATAAAGAAGACAATTTAAATATCTTTGTACTATGAGTAATGTACCTAACCAGAATGGGATTGGTCTAGAGCAGCAGGTAAGTTTTCTCATGTGCGCTGGTTTCGCCTACCGGTAGGTTTTCAATAGATGAGTTGCAAAAATGTCTTCGGTAATTAAAGTTATCTTGTAAGTGTTGATTGGTGTGTTCATATCCGGTAGTGTTTGCTGTGCATTGCTGCGCATTGCTTTTTTTGCCCATTTCAACATCCTTATGTGTTTGCAGTTCGCTGGCATAGACATCCGGGGAGGTGCGCCACCACCACAGAATGTCAGTAGATATGTTCCCCCGAATCGCCGCATGGATGGAATGGACGGTGGCGGCGGGGGTTTCAACAGTTACAGAAGTAAGTGTATGTTTTGTGAATTGTGTGCCTACGGCCGTGGTTTTTCAACCTTGTTGAAATGCCTAGCTTATATTTCCATTAATTGGAAACAACAGTTGAGTATGTTTGGAATATATTTATGGTGCTTTAGTTGGATGCCCATGCCCAGAACAGCTATGGCTGTTGTGGGCATGAGCTGAAATCAAGGTTAATTTTATTTACTTTGATGTACTTGTGATTAAAGTGATTTCCACAACTTGAAGGCTGCAATTGTCCTTGATGAGACCAAAAAATCATAAGTTTTATACAGAATTGATTGTGTTTTTACTGCTGGGCTTTAAATATCAATAAGAACATGAGGACAAATGTTTCAATGTGTTATGAAATTATCTTAAGGAATGGCTAATGCCAGGTAAGGGAAATAGATTAAGAAATATATTAAATCAGATTTTGTATTTTATAATGGTTTAGAGCCAATGATACTTCACAGTATGATACACTATGTCTTTGCATGAAGCAATGACATCATGATTTGCCATTTATTTATGATGCTTTGTAAATAAACAAAGGTTTTTTCTGTACCAATAACTTTATTTGCCCCATAAATTTTGAGGCATTTGAGGAGTGATACATGCATGGCAAAGCAGATAAACAACAAATGTTTAAAGTTATGGCAGATCAAGTGTGGTATTAGATGAGTTTCTAAAATTTTGATTGTATTGATGTCCTAACATTGGAGACATTTATTTGTCATCTTAATTTTAGTTACCAAGATCAAGATGAGAACCCTATTTTTTCTTCTTGGGGCATTGCTTTGGTTCCCTGTTTTGTTCAACAGCCATGTAAAAACTTAATTTGGACATTGTCTTGGATATGACACATTATCTGATGTGTTCATTCTGCCTCTTAAGATACAGCTCCTTGTTGCACTGGTTGTGGTTTGGGATTTCGCACCAGCCAATTCTGGTGTGCTGGGGATGTCCAGATGTTCATCAACAAACTGCACAAAACCAATCATGCACATTGATTTTAATTTTACTTAATTGAGTTGTTTTCTGTCATTTGTATTGTTGAGCCACATTTGAGCCATGCTGCAGAGTTTGTCTTGCATGGAATGGCTGCATAGTATCTGACCAGGACAATTTCTATGTATGTGCAAAATTATACCATGCCTTAGCAAACATATGGGATTTGGCAAAGTGTATTGCTCTCAAGTAAATGGGCACACCATTATTTTTATGTTGTTGAAATCACAATGTTAGATTTTTGTGTGTTGTTTTCATGAAAACAACTGTCACTTATTTCAAACGTGGATTTACTTTGAATTGATTTGAACATCTTGTAGGTTGCCCAAAGTATATGGTGGTTCTGTCTGTATTGATGTGGAATTCTATGTGATATATTAGTGCTTGGATTTATTTATCAGGCATTGCTTTAGTGTTTTGCCTAAGGCTTGCTTTTGCTTGTGGCTTCAGGTCCTGTTTATGGGTGTCTTGCTCATTGAATTGATACCATTATGAAAGACTGAATGGGATTTTAGAATTGGTGCCACCTTTATAAAGCTTGGGGAGAAACTCAAAGATAAAGCCTTCATTTGCCAGACCTTTCAGTTTTATCTTGTGATGTGGAATCTATTTTAAAGTTGGTAATATTTTTCAGTTCAAGTTCTGCTATAATTATATTGTTCCTTTTTAAGTTCTGTCATAGCATCCCATATGTTAACACATTATCCTCCAGTTTTAATCTGGTGTAGCATCAATTATAAGATGAGTGATTTTCCATGTGATGCCTAAATCACATGTCAGCTACATGACCTCAGGCACAAAACCACAGAAATAATTGACCTTTCTTCTCGTACGAATGGAGGTTTTGGTGACAAATATTGTCTCAATAAACATGTGTATGAATTGGGTTCACCTGCATTGTTCAGTGTAAACCACTTTACATGGCTGGAATGTTAATTGTTGTTCAAGGCCAGGGCATGATTGGTATTAGTCCCCATTAACCACAGGACAGAAAAAACTTGGTATTATCACAAAATAGATGGGATGGATATGTGGGTGTCTTATTCCATGCAAAATGAAAATCCATCCCATCCTGGCATGCTATAGAATATCACAAGTCTGCTGCTGCCATAGTGAATGTACTTTGGCTTTTATGTATTGTCAGACAAAGAGACTGATCTTGAAAAAGACAGCATAGATCTTAAAGGGTGCACATGTGCATGCACATGTAAAGATCTGATGATGGTCAGCTTGAGCATGAATGATGAACATTCACATGACAAGCCAGTGGTAGGGTGGTGTTGAATGGGTGGTGTTATGATAGGGTGGCTGGTGGTGTTGAACCGGCATGCTGTGTGGTGGCCTAAGTGTTGAGGCGGGAGTATGCTAGCATCATTATGTGGTGTGGGAGTGGATTGGAACATGCATAAAGGTGAAGCAATTATTTGGGCTGAGTTAAATAGCTGCGATGAATATATGTTTCTGTTCTTAACAATTAATGAAAAATGCAGTTTTCACAAAGCCTGTTTGTGAATGCCATCTAGCATAGAAACACTGCTTATTGGTGCCAAGGTACACAACTCATGGATCATTGATGTTGCCTCCAGTGGTCTTTCTTTGTCATTGGTGGTCTTTTTTTATCTACTGAACTTACAGGGTGGCATGTGAAGACCTAGCAGAAAACATTCATGAAAACTTGGTGTTCTACCAGCATAGCTGTCATGGTTACATGAATTATCAATATGCAAAAATTATTATCAATATGCAAACAAATGCACACAGAATATGCATGATTGTCTATTGTTGCACCTTGGGGATGCCTTGGGACAGCCCTGATCTTTTGTTTGTTGTCCAGATTGTGCTGTAGCATGCTTGCATGCTTCAGGTTCACAAGATCTGTCTAACTTGGGGGACAGTGGGTAGCCTGTATGACCCTTTTTGAGGATGGAATGTTCTTTGGGCATGTTTTATGTATGTATCAAATTGTGACAGAAAGGTCATATTGAAAGGTATTAAAATGTATTGCATCCTAAAAATGGAACCACAAACATAGCTATCATGCCACTTCCCTGACCTTAGTACTGGGCCAACAAAGCCAACAGTCAACAAATGAATATTTACTTTTAAAGTGATGACCTTGTGTGATTTAATGATGCTTGTCAAATGCTCTCAGTAGTAAGCAAATTATTCAGCAACCAGTACATTTCAAGTTGATACATGGAGGCAATAAATGAAAGCACCAGCCATTATGCTGCAAGCCCACCACCCATGGTGTTGGTGATCATGACTTGTGGCATTATTTTGGTGTTACCAGGGACATGTATAGGCTAATCATACTGATGTGGCATGCAATATGCATTTAAGGCCGCCAGGAAGTTTGTCTCAAAAGCAGGACCTGCAAATGCACGGAATCACCGACGTATTTGCGCCGCACGAATGCGTCGGTGGGACTGCAAGTGGTTCATTATTTAGTCGTGTCAGCCGCCGGCTGGACGCATGGCCAGGTAGAGCGGCGTCGGTCCACTGCGCCGTTGTCGGCCCGGGCTCCGGGTTGCGCCGTTCCTGACATCGACCCGTTACCGGCAGGCGGCGGCGGCGGCGGCGGTGGCGGCGGCCGCCCGGGGTACGGCGGCGGCGGCCGGCCCGGCTACGGCGGCGGGTATGACCCGCGCGGGCCCCCGCCGCCCATGCCGTCCAGCTTCGACCGGGGGTACAGCCGCGGCGGGTACGGCGACCGAGACCGCGACCGCGGCTACGGCTACGGCTACTCCGACCGCCAGTCCAACGGGTCTGCGTCTCCGGCGAGCGGGGCATCAATTTCGGCGGGCGGCGCGGCCGATGGTGGCTACGCGCGCCGGCTCCCCTCGGGCGCCGCGGCCGCGCCGCCCGCGCCAGTGCAGTGACGGTTTGGGAACGGGCGTGCCGCGCCAGGACCCCCACTCATCGCTCCGGGCATTGAACGAAATTCATGCGCCGGTCTCAGGAGCGGGCACCTTGCATGCTCGGGTGTCGCGGGCTCACTGGATCGGATTGCTCAGTGGCGTGCATGGTCTAGCCGAGTCGCTATCCGGCTCTGTTTCTCAGCGCTCTGTGCTGTCAGGGCGACGAAAACCATGCACGGTGTCTCGTATTAGTACGGGTCGTAAATGTTTGGTAGATGTAGCCTCACGTAAAATTCCCTTCATAAGTCCGTCCGTTTCCAACTCGTGTTTTTGCTTTACGTCGACGGACTGCACACCTGGTGGCAAATTGCGCGCAGTTTGAATTGCAGCACTTCTTTGAATACACCCGGTCTGTAAATATCTAGGCCTGGAATACTCACAGGTTACTGCATGCGTCCGCTTGCTGGTGCGCTGCTGTTCCGGCTCGCCGGCCCGGCCGCGGCGGCTGAGCAGACCGGATGCGGTCCCTCCAGCCGCCGCCGCGGGGCTGCCGGCCGGCGGCAGCAGGGAACATTTCACTTCTATATCAAGCCGGACAAGCGACTCACGACTGAATCTTTTGACCACAGTGGTGACCTCACTCCTGTCTCACGGAGACCTTGCAGATATGTATTGGTTTATGCTTTAAAATAGTCAGCGTTCATGGCGTGATATTCTACACTGATATGTCATTCATCTCGATCTGAATGATGCGGCGTTGCTTACCGAAAAGGCTTGAAGTATTCCCTGCATGCCTCTGAATGTTTCTGTTTGGTGTGCATTTTCCTCTCTTATTGCTTTCACTCCGAATGCATGCTTGAAAAATGGTTGTGGTAATGCATGGGGAGTGGCACTGGAAACAGAGTGGTGGTGCATGCGGTAACATTATCGGAGGAAGGGAATATGCTGGGTATGTGCGTGCGTGTGTATGCGCGCGTCCGCGTGCACTTGTGCGTGTGTCATGAAGCTGGGAAAGAGTCGTGAGATACCCTTGCCTCTGGTACCCACCCTTAAAAAACATGGTGCATGGATGCGATGCATCCGTTCCGTTACATACAGCTGCAAGTGGCCGGGGACCGAGTGGCCAGTATTGCAGGAACAAGGCGATAGAGCCGGCTGTCGATCAGTCGGAGAGATGTCCCCTCACCCCCTCCCCCAAGTCGGGACCTGGCGAGCTCCCCAAACCGGGACCGTCGGCGACGGCGCCTCCCTGGCGGCCGACGCCAGTCGCCGTGCCGCGGACGTGGCTCAGGGCCGGCCGACCGATGCCGGGGCGCCTGTCTCACTGGCGTGCGCTCGGGCGTCGACAGGTACGGCGGCGGCGGCGGCGGCGGCGGCGGACGCTTCGACCGCGGCTTCGGCGACCGGCGCGGCGGCTCCACCTGGAACAACAACCGGTGAGTGCGCGCGCGCCGTCATCGGCGCCGCGAGTCTGCGAGCTCCGCGCCCGGCGGCTGGGCTGCCGCGCCGCCGGTGTCGGCGGGCGGCGGCTGTTGCCGGCCGGGCGGACGTGGTCATGTGCCGTGTGTGACGCGCGGTTGGAGCGGCGCAGTGGGTGGCCGGGGCCGCGATAGCGGCAGCCGCGGCGTCGCACGCGATGGGAAGTGGCGCGGGCCGCCGACCCGGGCTGGCCGCGCGGCGGCTGTGACGCGGTCAATCGGATGAGTCACGGCGCTTAGTCAGCCGCGCCGCCGGCCGACGCGGGCCGAATGGGGGCTGGCTCATCGGCGGCGCACAGGCAGGCTGCCCAGGCTGCAGGCTGCCCAGCGGCATGTCTGGCCGTATGTGCTGCGCCGCTGATGCGCTACACGACGGCAACGATGCGCTACGCGACGGTACACGATGCGCCACACGACGGTACACGATGCGCTACACGACGGTGCGGGATGGACAGCTCGACTGAAACCGGCGAGCCGGCGCGAGCTGTCTCAGGTGTCGTGTACGATTTGACCGTCGCTCGGCTGCCCGATTCTACCCGTTGGTTGGTTTGTTGGCCGGGCTTTTAGTAAGGCGCGTATACCAAGTTTCGAATGGCAGCGATTTAAAGCGAATCCTACCGGCGTTCGCCCGCTGATCCGCCCGCGCACTAACAGCCTGCGCACGATCTGAGCCGATCCAGCGAGCCGAGCGTATCTCGGGCCGTGACGCGGCTCGTGGGGCTCCGCTGACGGCGCCGGCGTGATGGTGGCCGTACTGCAGATAATCGCGGAGCAGTGGGGGTTGTCGGCTCGCTCAACGCCGCGCCAGTAAGCCAGAAGGTGCGCGGTTTTCAGCACAGTGTAATGCAACCCTGCAAATATGTTAACTGCTGGAGCGTAATTGCGTTCATACGTGCACGGCAAGTCTTATGGATACTGCTCGCGGGAAGGTGGGGGGGGGGGGGGGGGGGGGAATCCTACAAGGTGTCAGGGAACTATGGCAGCCAGGAAAGCGAAAGGTGAAAGTGGTTGAAGGCTACAGTTAACTATTGTGCGAATTGGGTGATTCTGGGTCAGTCCTGGATGAATCAAAGGAGGGCCTACATTGTTCAGTTTGACGCTGTTTTGTCCATTCCATGTCACGAGTTGAAACTAATGCCCCTTACCCATCCCTGTCGTATGGGAAATATAGCGCGTTTAGACACAATGCACAGCGAAGAAGACGGACTACATAAGTGTTGGACCTCAGGTCATGTATGTTCGCAATGAGAAATAATGCGACGGACGAACTTTTTTAAGGTGTGTGTTAAGATTAGCGCCCTTATCCATCTTAAAGCAGCGCTTGTTTTCTGAGGAGCACGTCATTCAAATCCGGTGACCAAAGTCGATCGAGTCCCAGACAGCTGCAGTCGGATAAGCAGCTCACCCGAACCCGTGACCCAAATACCTCTGCGCGCGGCAAACGCGATCGCGAACATCTGGCAGCGCTCAGTGAGTACGTCACGATGAGACATGAGCTGACGCCAGCAGTTGGCAGACGTACCGCGCGCGCGCGTGTGGGGGGTGGGGGGTTCTACTACGGGTATGGTGTTGGCATGGAGCTACCGTCGCGTGGGTGCCACACCCCCGCATCGGAAGCAAGCCTCGGACGCCGCCCGCGTCGTCGGTGTACCTCCCGACCGTGTCGCCGGCAGGTGTGCTGCGTATGCGCGCGCGTGTGTGTCTGTGAGTGTATGTGTGTGTGTGTGTGTGCGTTGGAGCGCGGGTGCGCTGCTGCCGCGTCGGCGCGTCACGGCGCCCGCACGTTTGGCCGGCAGGGGCGGCGGCCGCTGGGGCGACCGTGAGGACGACCTGCAGCGTAACGACCGCTGGAAGGAGCCGGCCGTCAGCGACGCCGACTGGACCACGCCGCTGCCGCGCGACTCGCGCCTAGAGGAGGAGCTCTTCCAGCAGGTCAGCGAGGCGGGTCGGCGCTGGGGCGGAGCGGCCCCCGCGGGCGCGGGGGGGGGGGGGGGCAGGCGGGACTGGGGCCGCGTCGGCCGGGTCCGAGCGACTCGGTGTTTAGGGAGGGGCTCGTCAGACCAGGGCCAGAGCGGCGGCCAGGCGGGGTCGGAGTCAGATGGATGTGGTCTGAGAACCGGGCAAGGCCAGGTCGGGGTAGGCCCTGCCAGAGCCCGGTGTGGTGGCGGCAGGCCGTGGTGCGGCGGCGCCGGACGCGGCTTCCGCTGGGAATCACAGTGACCCCGACTGACCTCGCATGCCAGTGCCAACGACTGTCGCCGCGCGCTGACTCCCTCTCTCACGGTACGCGCGTCTCGCAGGCGAGCACCGGCATCAACTTCGACAAGTACGACGACATCCCGGTGGACGCCACCGGCAACGATGTGCCCGACTGCATCAAGTCGTTCAGCGAGCTGGAGCTCACGCCGATTATCGTCGAGAACATCGCGCTGACCAAGTACACGACGCCGACGCCGGTGCAGAAGTACTCGTTCCCGATCATCCTCAAGTCGCGGGACTTGATGGCATGCGCGCAGACCGGCTCCGGCAAGACAGCCGCCTTCCTCGTGCCGGTGCTCAACCAGATCTTCTTGAGTGGGCCGCAGATGGTCAGCCAGGACCCTAAGGTACTGCCAGAGCGCGGCACGGTGCCATGCTGGCTAGCCGGTGGCAGTGTCGTTGGTTTCGCCGAGCTTTGTTGCGGGCTCGCGTGCCGCTGGTGTGCGCTTCGTGTTTGTGCACGTCAGTAGACTGGCCGCGCGGCCCCGTCTGCGGTTTTGCGGCAGCTTGGGCCACGGCCGTCATTCGTCGGCGGTTTCCTGGAGTGCTGTCCGGGCGCGGCCGGACGCCCCGCGTCTCGCCTGTCGACCGACTCGTGTTCACGTCTGACGTCTCACTTGATTCCGCGCCCCCGTCTGACGTCATCAGCCCCCGCCCCCGCCCCCTCTGACGTCACGTGCCCGGCTGTCCCGGCAGCGTCCGATGGGCGGGCGCAGGAAGCAGTTCCCGCTGGCGCTGGTGCTGGCGCCCACCCGCGAGCTGGCCACGCAGATCTACACGGAGGCGCGCAAGTTCTCGTACCGCTCGCACGTGCGGCCGTGCGTGGTGTACGGCGGCGCCGACGTGGGCAGCCAGATGCGCGACCTGGAGCGCGGCTGCCACCTGCTGGTGGCCACGCCCGGCCGCCTGGTGGACATGCTGGAGCGCGGCAAGGTCGGCCTCGACAACTGCCGCTACCTGGTGCTGGACGAGGCCGACAGGTGAGGAGGCGCGCCGCGGACGGACGGCGACCGGGGGCGGGGCTGACGGCCGTGTGCTGTGCGCCGGCGAGGGTCGGCGCGGATGCGGCGGACGCGCCCTTCGACGTGGTGCTCTGTTCGGGTGTGAGACGCCGCGCGCCCTGCGTTGGCAGGATGCTGGACATGGGCTTCGAGCCGCAGATTCGTCGGATCGTGGAGCAGGACACCATGCCGCCCACCAATGACCGGCACACCATGATGTTCTCGGCCACGTTCCCCAAGGAGATCCAGGTGGGTGGCGAGCGGCGAGCGCACAGCGCCAGCTGGCGTCTGGAACGGTAGAGGCCGACTCGTGGGCGCAGAGGCTGAGCTGGGCGATGGCCGGTCGTCGAGGCCGTTGTCCACCCTTATGGTCTGCCGAGTTTGCGTATGCTGCTGCTGTGGCAGCCGTTCTCACGGAGTTACGTCTGCTGACTGGTGTCGGCCGTCACTGGCTGGCGCGTTGTCCCGTGCTGTTTGATTCCGTGGGACGCGCAAATAGGCGGCCTCCTGCCGAGGAGCGGCAGCTGCGTGTCGCCTCAGTGGATAACCGCCTCTGCCGGCGCTCTCGCCTCGTGCAGCGTCTCGCCCAAGACTTCCTGCGCGACTACATCTTCCTGGCGGTGGGCCGCGTCGGCTCCACCTCGGAGAACATCACCCAGGAGATCGTCTGGGTGGAGGACCAGCAGAAGAAGTCGTTCCTGCTCGACCTGCTGCAGGCCACGCAGGAGCGCGACCCCGAGAAGGGTGAGCCGAGCTGTGGACGGTCGCGAGCGGTCGATCGGTATCGCCGCCCGGCGCGCGATGGGTGGCGTGTGTTGGGTTGCCCGGCGGCGGGAGCCGGCGCCGCCCGACGATCGGTCGGGGCGCCTCGTGACCCGGACACAGGACGCCTCCGTCCGGCGTGCCGACCATAACCCGCCCTTCGCGTGCCCGCAGTGACCGAGTCGCTGACGCTGGTGTTCGTCGAGACGAAGCGTGGCGCCGACAATCTGGAAGACTTCCTCTACCGCAACAGCTACCCGGTCACGTCAATCCACGGCGACCGCTCGCAGGGCGAGCGCGAGCTGGCGCTGAAGCACTTCCGCAGCGGCCGCTGCCCGATCCTGGTGGCCACGGCGGTACGTCTGACTGGCTGGCTGGCTGGCTGTCCGTCGTCGTCTCTGTCCCGCAAATATCTGCCTCGCGCTGTTTCGCGTGCGTCCGTCAGGCGATGTAGGCGACCAGTGGCTGTTGATTGGTGTTGCCAGCGGCGTCACCCCCGCGTTGTCGCCGCTGGGACTCGACCGTGGGGAAGCGCCGGGACTACCCGGCCGGCCTGCTTGTCGTGGCTGTCCGCCCCCCTCCCCCTGCCCCCCCCCCCCCCCCCCCGGCCACGTCTGGCCTCACGCTTGGTGAGCGTCCCGCCGTGGACCGGAGCAGTGGCGTCCCTGTCACGCGCCGGCGATCTGTCGGTCTCTTGGGTGCTGAGGCGTGCTGAGGCCGCCCCGGCTGACGCGCGCTCCGCCGCCCGCCAGGTGGCCGCCCGTGGGCTGGACATCCCGCACGTGAAGCACGTCATCAACTTTGACCTGCCGTCGGACATCGAGGAGTACGTGCACCGGATCGGCCGCACCGGTCGCATGGGCAACACGGGCCTGGCCACCAGCTTCTTCAACGACAACAACCGCGGTCTGGTGCGCGACCTGATGGAGCTGCTGACCGAGACGAAGCAGGTGGTGCCCGACTGGCTGGAGAGCTTCTCGATGGAGGTGCACAAGATGGGCGGCGGCGGCGGCCGGCGCGGCGGCAAGCGGTGAGTGGCCTTGTCTGAACACTGAGCGGCGGTGGACCCGCTCGATGAACGTGGCTGGGGGTGCATCGCCATCCACTGGCGTGTGGACTGCCATCCAGTGTGGAGGAGTTTGGTGTGGAACCTTCCGTTGCGTATTTAAGGACAGTGATGTTAGTATTTAATGTGTTCCGGTAGCGTCCATCTCTGGAGCGGCTTACTTCGACGCATCCGTGTATTATGTTCGTTAATATGGCAGCCCACAATGTGGCAACCGCCTGCGGGTTACAAAGTCTGGGCTGCTCTATGACTGTTCATGTCAGCATTGACGTAGTGGTATTCCCCCCCCCTCCCCCCCACCCCCACCCCAACTCCTACTCGGCGTGATGTTGCGTGTCACCTCGCGGCGCGTGGCGGCCTCGCGTGACTGACGCCGCGCCCGGCGCCTCCGGCAGCTTTGGCGGCGGCTTCGGCGGCCGCGACGTGCGCCAGCAGAACCGCAGTGGCGGCTACAGCAAGGGCAACCAGGGCTACGGCCAGGCCAAGATGGGCGGCGGCGGCGGCGGCGCCTACCCCGCCTACGGCATGCCGCAGATGGGCGGCATGTACGGCTACGCGCCGATGCAGGTGGGCGGCTACGGCGGCACGTACGCGGCGGCGCCGCCGCACGGCGGCGGCGGCGCCAGCGACAGCTGGTGGAACGGCAACTAGCGGGCCGCCCGCCGCCGCGGCCGCCCGCCCCCGCTCTCCCCTGTCCGCCGCCTGATTCTGTCTCTGTCGTAGTTCCCGTTGCAGCAGCTCCCGGCCGCCCCGCTGAGCCCGGCCTGGTGCGCCGCGGCCGCGCGGTCCGCCGGCCAGGCACTTGTGATACGGTGGGCGCCGCGCCGCGCGCCGCTCCGGCGCGAGCGGCGCGCCCCGCCCCGCTCTGCCCTCGGAGCGCGCACCGAGGCCCGGGCCTCCTCTCTGTGCGTGTGCGTGTTTTACGGCGTTTTAAAGTTATCATTCCGCTGCGTAGGAAACTGAGTGTTTCGTTTGTTCTCCTGTGCGTTCGTGTGTTTAGAACAACATTATTACTCAGCATTATTCCCTTAATCCGAGAGTTCACACTCGCGTAAGGCGCCAGGCGGCGTTTAGGTGTTTTCTTTCCACGTTCCCTGGCGGACGGCCGATCCATGGGAGCTGTTGCGTCGTATAGAAGTAAATATGATAAACTGTTGTATTCTTTCCTGGGCCGAAATTGTCAGCTAGCGTGCCCAAGCGGCGAGCCGAGTGGGTGTGGGGTGAGACGCGCCTGCACGCGCGTGGGACAGGACCGGTGCGCGATGCGTGACCGAGCGGCCAGGTCGACACCGCCCCAGATCTCTCCCGCACTGAGAGGGCGCCACTCGCGGTGCGCCAGCGCCAGAGAGAGCGGGCGAGTGATCGATCTGAGGGGGCGGCGGTGCCGGCCGCAGCGGGCTGGGCCGCCGCGCCGCGTCCGCCGCCGAGGCGGCGGCGCGGCGAGCACGGCCGCGCGGTTGCGCGACCGCTTATTTATTAGTAGCGTTACGGAGGGCCGCGCGAGACCGGGTCAGGTGTGTACTGTGCGTCTGTTCTCTGTCTGTTTCCTGCTCCGCCCGTCTCCCGGCGCCGGCGGTGGCGGCGTCCCGGTCCGGTCCGGTCCGGTCCGGTCTGGCCGGGCCCGGCCGCCGCGCGTCGGGCCACGCACATGACACGCACGCATTCTTCCACTGATGCAGGGGTGCTGAGAGCGCGCTGGGGCCGGCGGTTTTGTTTCGGTACGGCGCCCGGTCGCGGCGGTTTCTGTTATCCCGGTTCAGCGCGCGCGTCGGCCGCGCCGCGCGCCGGCGGGCTGGCCCGGTGGCCGCGCGGCGGCGCTAGTGTCGCTGATCTCAGGGCAGACTCGGCAGGGCTCCCCGCCGAACCCGACGGCGGGTCGGCTGGGGCGGCGGGCCGGCCGTGCGGGCGCGACCCGCCGCCCCCCGGCGGCCCGGGTGGCGAGTGTTGCGCCGGTGTGCCTCACGGGATGGGCTCTACTTATGTACCGGTCCGGTTGTCTCAAACCAGTGACTTCTGATCCAGTCTAGTCTCCATGCGTGATTGTGTGCGTGGCAATATCTTTTAGGGAACAGTACAAATTGTGTCTGCGGGCCCGTCGGTCGCAATTTGGTGCGTGAATGTCTTAGGATTTTCCAGATATCACCTTGAAGCTTGACCGGTTCTGGCGACCAGTTTGCTTCGTTTATACTTTGTAGCCTCTATCAGGGGGACCGTTATACTATGTAACCTCTGGCGGAGGGTACCTTACACGTTATACACTTGACTTGCGCGCGTCCAAAAGTGACTGTGACCCAGCCGCTGGTCGCTTGCGCCGCCCGGAAGCCCGGTAACAAATTGTGAACCTATTTTTGCGCCCGAGCGTGCTGGGGCGCCGGCCGTGGGAGACTGTCGTTCTTGTGCGTGACCTTGCGTAACCTTTGGAAGTGGTGTACGGTGATGACGGCGTCTGCGGTCGCGCACCGTACGGAGAGACAGACAGAGCAACAGCTGTTCACGCTCTCGCCCTGGGAGAGATTTTGGGCCTGCGGGAGGCTCGACACACCATTGAAATACAAGGAAAGAATATGAACACAGCCGTGGCGTTTTACTGGGCGGGCGGAGCGAGAGTGGAAGTGGAGGAATCGGCTTAGGTTGGGAATGAGCGCTGGGCACCATGTGACCAACGCAGTCTGTGTGCCCCAAAGTCCAAATAATCATCATCGGGAATGAGCGCCGGACTCCGGTCGTCTACACACTGAGCGCGGCTAGTCAGCATTCTGTGACGCCTCCCCGTGCTGCTGACGCGAGCGGCATCACGTGCGCGGCGATACTGCGATGCCGCTGGTGCAGGCTCATAGTCGAAGCAGACGCGTGTGTTGTGCGATGAGCGCTGCCAGAGCAGGAATTGCTCCGCGTTGCTGTGGCGGTTTGGTGTACAAATATTTACGGCGCTTCTGAAACGGTTGGCTGTATCGGCGAGCTCCCCGTGGGGATGCCAGCATACGGTTTATTGTCGATACGACACGTCTAGGTAGAGAACAAATACGAATTACACGCTGGTGACACACAATCGAGCTCGAGGTCTGGATGGCGCTCCAATACTGAAGCGGCTGACCCAGAAGCGCTGCGCAGCATCTTCCCAATGTACTGGTAATTATAACACCACGAGTATTCACACACCCCGTCAGGGCCACGAGAAAATGAGGAATGATTGGTGGATGGAGGGAGGTGCGGACGCGTAATGTCCTGAACTCGTCGTGGGCGGCGCCCGCACCGGCGCCGCTCACGCTTCGCGACCCGGTCGGCCGCGGGGACCACCGTTCGCGTGCGCGCAACGGCAGCGCGCGCCGCGTCCGCAGGTGGGGCCACGCAGCACACGATGGCAACTGCGGGAACAACGTGTCCCGCCCGCGACAGGGCCAAACACGCGCACTTGATGTGCCGGTGGTTGGCTCGCTGCCAAGTCCGGCATGTCGATTTCCCGTGACGCCAATCGTCAGCGTCCTTGTTTCGCTGACATGTCGGGGCAGGCGGACGAGCGGTGCTCGAGCATGACCCGACCGGAGTTGGCACGAGGCCAACTGGTTAGCGTCCGAGGAACGCCGCGCCTGACGCCAGCTGCGAAGTGGGCTGTCTTGGGTCTGACTCTGGACTCGACCCTGCTAACCCGACGCTCTGCAATCTGACGTTGACTCGTACCTCTCCGGGGTCTGCCCGGTCTGACTCAGTCCGGTCTGCGCGGGACGACCAGCCCTGGACCGATGACGCCGAGCGCCGACCGCTCATATCTCCCTCTCCTCGCTGTAGTGGATCTTGGACGAGAAGCTGCTGCGCTTGGTGCAGTAGTTGTTCTGCTCGTTGCGCGGCCCGGGCAGCAGCTGCTCGGTGCCGCCTGGCGGCCGCGGCCGGAACCGCAGTCGGAAGGGGTGGGGCTTGTAGGTGATGCCTGCCTGCGGGGTGAGGTCGGCCGCCTCGCCAGCCGGCAGCTCGAGCGAGAACGCCTGCAGCAGCCCGCCCAGGAACAAGAACAGCTCCATCTTGGCCAGCGACTTGCCCAGGCACGACCGCTTGCCTGGGAACCGCAGCGACGTCAAGGGTAGGTCGTTCGTTAACTTTAAGTATAAATATATGTATTGTAATAATATAATATAAACACATGAGGTAGTGTATAGCGTCGCTGCCTTCGCTTGTCACCGTTTAACATGTCACGTTTTAATACATAATGCGGCCTCGAGGAAGTTTGGAAGCTCCACCTCACCTCGCAATCCCGAGCCGCGTTCTCCCTCCTGCGTTTGCGTACTGCTCCCGCCCAGCAGCAGTCCCCGCAAGTCATGGAGCCGCCCCGCGCGTGCGCCAGCGGCCGCCGCGGCGCCGCCTGCCGGGCTCCGGCCGGCCGCCCTCACCTGTACCGAACGCCAGCAGGCGCGGCTCGTGCATCAGCTTGCCCTGTTCGTCCAGGAAGCGGCTCGGCCGGAAACGCTCCGGCTCGATCCAGTACTCCGGGTCGTGGTGCACGTGGTAGATGTCCGGTAGGATCAGGCTGTTACGCGGAATCACGTACTCTGGTGGAGCGAGGCGTCACGTTACTCTGGCGGAGCGAGGCGTCACGTTACTCTGGCGGAGCGAGGCGCCGCGTCAGCGGCGGTGGCGCGCGAGCCGAGGCGCTGCGCCGGGAAAAGGCGGCAACGGAGTCGCCACGATTCCGCAGACTACTAATACAAATGTGATAGTTTTCAGTTTCTGGGTGCACTGAATGAGTAGTGTCAAGGGTTTGGCGATAAGGGTGCAACGTGTGATGAGTTGTCCACGGAGTGGGTCGTGCGCTTTGGGTTAGCGTCCCAGCAGTAATATGGCGAGATGTGGCCGGGTCCTTCCGTGCGTGCAGCCACGCGTGGTCGGCCGCCCCTAGAAGCAGTGCATGTGATGCGCGTCGGGTGAACTTAGCCTTCAGGCGCAACGTTCAGGTGATGAGTATACAGTGTATTTGTATATTCGCCGTTGACGTTTGGTACGGGGAGCCGTTTCCATGTAAACCGGCCCAGAATTAACACCAAAATTGTCGCCGGCGCCTTGATGGAGTGTTTGATGTGACCCCAGCCGGAGATCATCCCGGCATCTCCCCATCCAGAGGCTGGTCTTGCGCCTGAGCCAAGTGAAGTAGAACAAGACTGCGCCGCGCGTTAAAATCCCGGATGATCAGCCTTTCCGCCGGCCGGTTCACATTAGCCGGTGTGAGCCTCTGTGAATGACGCCGCCGACACCTTCGGATAATCCTGTCCCGCGTGTTTATGACTATGGAGGTGCTATTACTGGAAGGCTAGCCAGCAGCGTCTGGGTGCGTCTTATCCGTATCATCACGTTCGTATTTAAGCCGGACAACCTGTCTGTAGATGTCTCGTTATTCGTTTAGTAAATCGCCCACTTTGTTTGTCCTCCCGGTTATCATATCTGAAATGGTTCCATCGAATGTGTGCAAGACTGAGGCCACCTTGAGCGCCAGTTACGATTGCCCGGTTCAGACTGCTGTATCTGCGCAGGATCGATGCAATTGCTTGCTAATCCCGCAGCTTTGTTAGACATGAAGGTGCGCCCGAAATTTAAATGGGCCCATGGACAGGCATTCAAGTTGTGAATGGTCGTTCTAATTTTGTGAACGCAACCATGGGATTAGCCGTAGCTTTCTCCAGGCATGGAAATTGAAACAGTTTTGCACTGACTCATGCACCTGCCACCTTTCCATTTATCACGCCATTACTAACCGCCGACGCTGTGCACCAGGCTGAGGTTCACCGCGACGCCGCGGCGCCTACTGAAGCGCTGACGCGTTCTGTGGCGCGTCCACTTTTAGCCATGACGCTGTGTGGTCAGTGAAGACTGCACGGGATGAGTTTGAGATCCCTGGCAGCATGAGATGGGTGGGGTCCAGGGCGACCTGAACCTGAACCTGAGCCAAGACGATCCGACCTGAACCTCTGAACCTCGCTTGGACCTTTTAGCCTGGCTATTGGGCCATGATTTTTGCCATGTGGTGGGGGGGGGGGGGGGCTGTCGACTCACGCCCTCAGCGACCGCGTAGGGCGAAACCACCCGTGGATACGCCTGCGTGACAGGCCCCCATTCCCTGTTCCCGAAATATCACTGTCGAAAGCTCCTCGACCAATGCGGGGTTATTACACGGCTGCAGCGTGGTAGCGCACTCGTCCCGCGCCCCTGGGACGAAGTTAGACCTGGGTGGGCGGGCTTGATCCACGGCGCCACGCCAGAGCGCCTTACTGTCCCCCGTCACGCGGCTGTGAGGCCCTGGTGCTGGGGGCTGCAGGAGGTGTTTGCAAAGGTGATGAATGTCACTGGCGGGCGCGTCTCTGCATGAGCCGTGCTTACGTGAGCTTCAGTAGGTTGAGCGGTGGCGCGCGGATGGTCAACGCGCTGCGCATTCTCATTAGTTTGTAGCGGGCGTCTTCCCCTTAAGTTGTCGCCGAATACATGCGTCAGTGATAAGTAATTGCTGGAGTTAAGTATCGAGGGTGGGACGCGCAAGTATTACTCGATTTAACAGCATCGCGGCCCCTGTACAACAGAGGGAGTTCGGCTCGGCTTGCGCTCGCGGACCGCGGCACCAAACGATGTGTGAGAGTGAAGAGCACGGCGGCCTCCTCACTGTCGTCCTCTGTAACGGTGGACTTCTCGTTCTCCTCGTCTGTGTCGGTGGATTGGTCTGTGTTGTCAGCTGCGTCAGGACGTCACGAAGTCACCGCGCCACTTCTAGGGGTGTGGATCAGTGAAAAGGGGCGTGTGGGCCAAGATCGTGTCTTCAGACTTCACGGGATCGAAAGAAGACATTTAATTCAGATCCTGTTTTGGTTCGTATTTCAAGCGAAGCCGCTGGGTGTACAATGGTCGTGACCCTATGATCGCAAAAAAATGTCATCTTTGTGTAGGATAAGTATTTCTGCATGATTACAGTTATGCACTTAAGGTTTATGCACGATTGTTCGATACGAAGGTAAACAAAAAAGTCAGATAGCGGATACCTGTAGAATAGAAACCGTTGTTTGGAATGATTTCAGGTGAAGTCACGCTTGCTCGCTGTTTCCAGACCAAGGCGGAAGAAGTCAGCCTTGGAATTCGTACCTGATCGGAGTACGTCATTCGAACCCCGAAGTTTTTGCCAAATCTTCACCCTGGTGCAGGACTCTAGGCCCTGAATCCTTGACCCTTGGCTGGACTCCGCAGACCCGGTCTTTGACCCTTTCCTTGTGACCTGAACCTTCACCCGACCGCTGACCCAGGGGCGGATCCAGGAAGAGGAAGAGGAGTGAACGAATCAGTTTCCTCCGAAGGCCATACAACAGCCTAAATGTGTCGTTTTTTCGCTCGATTACGGTTCAACTGACTTCACCTTTCGAGCAGCTGTCTCGCCCAACCGGCTTTTATTTCCCCCAAGATTAGTGCGCTGAATCCGCCCTTGCCCTGACCCCACCCGACCTGACCGCCGAGACTGGCGTCCCGTGGGAGTCGTTCTTCTTTGGCAAATAGAAGCCCATCAATTCTTCGAGTAGACCCATTCGACCTATGACGTATCTGCGTGACTTAACGGTCGCATCACGGCCGAAGCACATTCGTTAATTGGCCGAGAGGCGAAGTAAGTGCGGTGGTTTGCAAGTAAGTCGCGGTTGGTTGCATGGCAACGCTTGGCAATGGTCGACGCGCTGTTGACTGTGTTGCATGTCCGACAAGAGGGTGGCTCTCGGCTGCGTGCGGACAGCAGCACGATCGGCCATGATGTTTTCGACACCATGGCTCGTCAATAACTGTGTTGCATATCGTGGCCCGCCTCTTACTCTGGCAAGAAGGGCGGGCATCGCCTGGTTTTTCATTTCTGGTTTTCCAGACGCGAAGCTTAATCGGCGCACTGTCGGCACCCTGTGTATGATCGAATTGTATCCAAGAGCGGCATTGCTGTATTCTACCCGCACCAAAGAGCCCAATCAGCTGACTCGAACTCTTAGCACATTTCGGCTCATGGGCAAAGTCTTAACTACGCTCTGACCTGCGACGGCACAGGCTGCTACCGTAATGGACGGAGCTTGGGGTCCGGAAGCCCTATGAAAATCTGTGCCCTGGTGAGCCGGCATCTGACTTACCGCCAATGGTAGCCGGCTGGAACGACGTGAAGTGCGGCACGGACACGTTCGTCACTGTTCCGAACCGGTGCACTTCGTTGATGGTCGCTTGTAGGTAGGGCAAACTGAAATAGCGGAAGGATCGTTCTCAGTTGTACCCCCCGGATTCGGCGACTGGGAGAGGGTTCATTTGGTCAGCCAGGCTGGCAAGTGTGGCGCTACTGTCAGTCGCTTTTGCGCGAGTGGTTTCATTGGCTTTAATTCGCTTTGGATGAACCTGGCAGTTGATCCGTCGTTGACCCTTACCGTGTTTTGCACACGTCTCAACGAGACTCCTTTCATTCGCGCATCAGCCAGACGCTTTCACTCGCCATTTAGAGCGAATGGGACCTACTCCCGCTCCCACACACATGCGGTTGCTGCTCCTCCCCAGCCCCCCTAGCCTCCTCAGAGCCGCTCGCATGCAGTACCATCCCACTTCTCCACACCATTTGCTGTTCCTCCCCAGCCTTCCCAGAGCCGCTCGCATGCAGTACCCTCCCACTTTTCCACACCAGTTGCTGCTCCTCCCCAGCCTCCCCAGCTTCCCCAGAGCCGCTCGCATGCAGTACCCTCCCGCTTCTCCACACCAGTTGCTGCTCCTCCCCCCCCCCCCCCCCCCAGCCTCCCCAGCCTCCGCAGAGCCTGCTCGCCGTCTGTCGCCACCATCGGGTGGCCTAGCCGCCGCCCACCTGGTGCGGTCGGCCCAGCGGAGCGGCTCGCTGCCCACCAGGGCGTCAATGTCAGTCTGCAGCCGCTCCTGCACCTCCGGGTGCAGGGCCAGCAGCAGGACACGCCCAGCACAGGGTCGAGTTCACCGTCTCGATGCCCGCCTGGAAGAAGTCCATGAGCAGGATCTCCAGATGACGCTCTGGAACGGACAGCACGCTGGTGAACTTCGGCCGGGGGGCGGGGGGCGGGGCTGCGTCACTACCACGCTCGCACCGAGAATTTTCGTAAGAGGGGGAGGTAGATTTTCGAGGGCCGTCATTCAAAGCTTCATCGAACTGTTTTGACCGGGAGGGGGAGGGGAGGGTGGAGTGGTACCCCAGGCAGCAATATTTGTTCTTTAAAATCTGGCGCTGCTTACCGGCGCTGCGCGCCGGTCAAGACACGTTCTTGAACTTTTGTCCTGGGATATGAAGGATTGCTTGCTTTGGTTATCTAAGGACGTCAGTTTAACGTCATATAGTTCTTTAGAAGACGCGATCTAGCACCTCATTTTCACCAAACGCGCGACTACGCAAACGGAGTCTGTTATGCAAAACATGTCATGTAATGAAGAATTACAGCGAAGGTTTTGGGCATTCAGCGTTGTCATTGAAAAATCATGGGAATTGTGCATGTTTGAGGAAGAAACTTTGATATCAGTGTCGCCGCGCTGGCGGTATGATGTCCCTTGACCTTAAGCTTTTAGTTACAAAAGAGACGAATTGACTTGATGCAGAGCGTAGGTACGCAATTGAAAATACACACGTCTTAAAACAAAAAAGGTTGTGTATGGCACGGACATTCGCCCAAATAGCATTACCTCTGTAGGTAAAGTGTTCCATGATTGAATTTACAGGATCCAGTTCAGCAGAGGTGTAAATTTTTGTAAATTATTGGGGAGCCGGACCAAAGGCCCGACAGCCTAACCCCCTCAATTTTTCTGACCGGATTTACCCCACTTTATTTTGATTAAACGCAATGTGTGTTTTCAATCTTTGTATAATTTATAAGTCTTTAAGTTAAGCAGTATAGAAGTCATACGGGGTTGGATCCAGGGAAGGGAGCAGGCACTGGACGCACGCGTCTGTTCTGATTGGCACGTGCAGGCGCCCCTTTAAAGGCCTCCTTAGGGCGTCCATGGCGCTCTTCTACGGCGAGCATTGGAGGCGGCACGCATTTTGGTTGTACGTGACGGGGACGAGGTTAGCCATGAAGGACCTATGTCAGCCGTATATTCCAGAGCTTTTTACTTTAACCTCACAAACCATTGCGTGTCTTATGACTCTAGGTATGTAAAATTAATTGGATCGCTTATCCGCTCCGCTGTTACGATTTTCATCTTCTGGTGAGAGCAGCCATGACTTTGTTCTGAGAGTCGTACGAGACGCCACTACGCAGAAAGATCAAAGAAGGTAGTCTTTGTGTTACGATCATCTTTTACCCATGTTTTGTGTAGTATTCCAGCCAAAAACATTGGGGGGCCCAACTTAACATGGGGGGGGGGGGGCAGGGCCCTCACAAAAAATACAAATCGATACCCGTGCCAGCTCAATTCAATTTGACATGTTTAAATCATATCTGCCCACCGTCCGCCTTTTGAACAAAGATCAAAGCTTGTCGAACATAGTTCAGAAAAAAAACAAAGATGCTTTTATACTAATCGACATAATTTCATCAAATTGCAGGTCAGTTAAACGCACAAGAACAAATAAAGCATGAATGAACATTATTCCTTTATAAACTGACATTTTTGGAGTATTAATTCTCTTTCAAATGGTTTGGCTGTTTAGTTGCTGAATGCCGGAAAATTTATGAATGTTGCAAGGCCTTAATTCCATGATGGCCCGGATTGTAAACAACGAGGTACCAGTAAGATTCGCGCGTCCGTGTAGGATTCAGTAGTCTACGGCCATGCGCTTAAACTATTAAGCTTAAGCCATTGGCAAATATGTTTTGTGTCGCCTTACCGCATTCTTCGAATCTGTCATTATACGACAATATTTTGAACGGTACCTAAGCGTTTACCTTGAAGCGCCTCTGTGTTTCGACTTGGTGAGAGTCTGTACTTGATCTGTGGCTTTCCCCTCCACCTAGGGGCAGTCCAGGCTCAGAGTGCTTGTCTATGTACTTAATACTTCAAAAACCCTCTTCTTGTGATCTGGTACACATGTCTATGTACGTACACGCGCAGTGGAGCACCTCTCTACCTTCGCTTTTTTGCCTTTGGTCACTTAAACTGGGGAAAGTCCCCAACCTACGCCTGGAGCGTCCGCAACCTACGCCCTGCATTCACAGGCGTCCATCCACCGTAGAGCATGTAGAGGTGCCCCTGCTGGGGGTGGGGGCGCCCGCTGTTGGGATCGGGGGCTCCCGTCTGCCCGCAGCTTTGGCGCGCCCCTGCTGGGGGTGGGGGCGCCCGCTGTTGGGATCGGGGGCTCCCGTCTGCCCGCAGCTTTGGCGCGCCCCTGCTGGGGGTGGGGGCGCCCGCTGTTGGGATCGGGGGCTCCCGTCTGCCCGTAGTATTGGCCCGCCCCTCTGAGAGGGGGCGTTTCTCTGCATACGTGCGTGGGCGTCTCTCTGCCAAAATTTAGAGGCACTTCGCCACTGGGGCTCGGGGAGCGCCTGTACTTGGGCCTGCGGGTTGCGCCTACCCACAGGCTTGCGGCATCACTGACTTTGGCTTGGGTCGCCGCTCCGGTAGGGCATTGGGTCAGTCCTCCATCAAAATTAGGGGCGCCCTTTTGATGGACTCCGTTACGCCCCCCTAGCCAGGTTCGGGTCTCTCTCTGTCTAGGCTCGGAACGCAGCCAGGCATGTGGTTGTGGGATGTCAATCTAAGCGGGCTGAGAACGCCTCCTACCTGGGTTCAGGGCGTCTCTTGGTCTGGACACGGCACCGCCCATTCACGTGACTTGAAGGGCGCGACTCTTCTTGAGTTTTGTGACTCCCGTCTTTTGGCTACTGGTCACGGCGGCACTTGAATCAGCCGAGCGTCCCTGCACTTTTTCGGATGCGAGGGGGTGTGGGGGCTACGCCATCCCTCCCTTCTTGGGTGCGCCACTGGTTGCCACTTGCTAGTGCTATTCGCTGCGAGCGATACGAGAGGAAAAGCTTGAAGACACTCTAGAGAGTTTGTTGGCACATATGAATGCTTTCCCCACTGTACCACCTATGTTATTATTGGAGTGGAAGTGGTTTTCGCGCAATGCATATTCATCCGCAAAACCCGGCAAAATAAGTGGAGGAAAGACCTTGTTTTCCAAACGCCGTGTGTACCCGGTCTCTTGTGACAAACGCTCCCGACACGGAAAATAAATGGCCTTGAAAACCACGTGGCGTAATTCAAAATGTTCAGCTTAATTCGGATGCGTCTTTCATGCCATGGAGTCGGGCTGCACATGTTCACTCCTCATTAAGTTCATCTGTGACGCATGAATTTTCACTCCCACCGCCTGCAATCAATCTCCGTGTAGGTGTTCATCAGCTTGGCTGATTATGCAGCTGCGTCCGGCCGTCCCACCCGCGAGTCATTCCTGGGGCATGGCGCAGCCCCTCTAGCCGGCCACTGGACTAACTGCGGAGCTTTGTCGACGGGAGTCCGGCAAGAGTGCAGACTTCCGCGCCGGGTACGCCAAGGCCGGCACGGAGCGGATCGTGCCAGGAAATTAAATATCCAAGTTCATGCAAACGAGCTTCAGCCGTAGTGACGTCAGCGTTTAGGGAACTTGGGATAAACTCTGAGTAATTCAGCGCACCTCCTGGCGGGCTAAAAGGTCGCACACCTCGCTAGGCTAAAAGCGTCTCGGCTGCCCGTCGTACGCCCACGCAGCATGACCCATCGGTGGATATTGTGAAAGAGTCCAAGCAAATGCTATGGGTAAGTTTGACAGCATATGGAAATACTGTTCATACGTATACAGCGCACGCACAGGCGTGCTCGGGACAGTGCTTCAAATCTGGCAGTGTCCTCTGCGAAGGGATAGCTCACTCAGTTCACCTTCCCTTTTCGAAAAGCCAGGCCCTCATCGTCATCCGAGTGATCAGAACTGCTCCCTACAGATCCCCAACCTCCATACCGCAGCGCCCCCTCACTGGTAAAGTCCTTCTCCTCGGCGCCGTCCTTGGCCATCTCGAGCAGGAAGGCGTCCACGTAGTCCCTGGGCCGCTGCGGATCGAGCGTGCGCCGGTGCTCCTCCACGATGTCGCCGAACAGGCGGCAGCTGAGGTCACGCAGCGCGCACAGGCTGCGGTAGCCGGTGGCGCGCGGCGCCACCAGGCGGGACCAGGGCACCAGCGAGAGCACATTGCCCGGTCCGGCCAGCCGCATCACGGTGTCCGTGTCGTTCACCAGCTGGTTGAACACCGGGTCGTCCAGCTCGTATCTGTGGAGGGGATGGGTTACTGGTGAAGAGGCTCAGGGAGTCGGCTGTGTGCCAGTGGTGTAGACAGAGAGAGCACAGAGGGTACATGCGCCTCCCCCCGTCGAGGTTCCGAGGGCCCGAGGGATCCCCAGGACCTACGATTGAAGGCCTGATTTAAGGGCCAGAATGGCCGGCCGGAGGTCGTATTCAGGAGCGCTAATCTGCAGAGCCGGGCACTCCAAAGCCAGCCAGAGGGTTCTGCGTGCTTACCAGGCCCCCTGAGTCGAAGGGTGCATGTGTCGGTCAGACACCACCAGTAACGCACAGTCGACTCCGTGGCGGCATGGGCCTGAGGGTCCATTTTCCAAGCAGTAGCAATGCCCGAGCCAGCAATTTGCATTAGTCAGGGCTCCGGTTTCTGTCAGGGCCCCACAGCACCGAACAGGGGGGCCTGTTCTGGCGAGGGCTCCGAGTCGGCCAGAGGCAGTGTTCGAGGAGACCCGAAGGGCTTGGATTGCCCACCGGGACCGACGATCAATGGTCCGGTTGGAGAGCCTGAAGACACAAAGGACCGATTGGAGCCTCATGCAAGGGCCCCGGCTTGCGGGGACGGGCCCTCGAATGACAGTCAGAGGTCCTATGCGCCGATCGGGGAATCCTGAATCGATAAGGGCTAATGTGTTGGTCAGACACCACCAGTACCGCACAGTCGGCTCCGTGGCGGCAGCGGCCCACTTCTCAAGCGGCTTCAAGGCCGGAGCCAACGATTAACAATGGCCGGGTGTAAGTGACATGAAGAATCGCGACCTGTAGGTTCGTTGCCTGAAATACCAGTCAGAGTCCTCTTGCGTCCTTTAAGGGACCTCCTGAGACAATGCGGGTGTCTTATGTCGACCAGAGGCCACCAACACCGCACAGTTGGCTCCCTGTCAGACTGAAATCTGGTGGTCCATTTCCCAAGTAGGAGCAAGGCCTGACCCGCGATTTATGTTATTAGGGTCACTGAAACCATGAGGGTGTCAGTCAGGAGCGCACAGTGCCTGACAGGGGTCCTGTGTCAGTAAGTGGCCAGAGTCGTCAGGAGGCGTGTTTGTGACGGCCCGAAGAGGAGCTCGAGGGGCCCCGCGGGGCCAAAGGTGAAGGACCTCATTGGACTCGGGTCCGGCCTCCCACACGTAGTGTTGTGACCCGAAATGAAAATCGGAGGTCTTGTATAAGGGTGGTCTTGTTTGGTTTCTCATCTCAAGTATATTGGGTCTGGGCGCGGAGCCAAACAGTCGGCTTCGTGTCCGTCTGAGCCCTTGGGATCCACTTCCCAAGCGGAACAAGGCCGGGGCCCGCGAATCGCAATGTTCGGGATCCCTGACGCATTGATGCCCACCCGTGGGGCCGCGATACCAAATGTCAGTTAGGGGACCTGTTGCACGGTTAGGGACCCCGAAACAGCGCGTTCCTCTATTTTGGCCAGAGATCACCAAACACCGAACAGGCGGCTCTGTGTCGGTCAGAGCTCCGGCGGCCCATTTCCCAAGCAGGACTCGGCCGGGCCCGCGATTTGCGTTGGTCGGGTTACCTGTAACAATACGGGGCTCCTGCAATGGTCAGGGGCCCGCGGTGTCTTAGAGGGGTGTTGACCTATGTCAGCAACGGCCTGGAGTCGGCCAGAGTTTACTGATGTTCAAAATTACGTCGGACATTAGTACGAAACAACGCAACGTTATGTATCGCATGCTCACAACTACGTTACATTAGTTTAATCACTAATCCATTCTGACTAAACGCCAAAATTTCCCAAGCGTGGGTTGGTCATGTTAATGCAAACTATTGACCCATTGCGATCTGCAATCTACAATCGCGGGTCCTAAATATTTTTGTGGGACTCGGATGCAAATCAGGCAAAGCTTATGAGGTCTATCGGTTTAGAAAAAGTTCACTGGACCATTGGAAAATGAATAACGCCGGCGATTTAGGTCAGGAAGTGGCTTAACGGATGGTTTCTGCAGTTTATTGGCAACAACATTCAGGCAGAATTGTTATCGCCGCAGCTTCTGGCTTCTGTTCCGGTCACACAAGGTAGCAGTGAAAATGACAGAAACAAACAGGCTCTCATGAACAACTGGGCTACATCTGACGATTTGGGTGACTTTTACTATCAGAGCGCCCTTTACCAAACTTGTGTCCTCCTTGCCAGGGCTCGGGCCGCGCCACTGCTACATGCACCGGGACAGTGGTTTCGCGGGGCTTAGTCGTCGCATGGTGGTGGATTGAGCATAGTTCGAAGCGTTAAGCCCATGCAGGTTTTGGAGGGACTTTGATGGAAGGTAAATAACACCGACTGAAGTAATCTAAGCATCCCAGCACTTAACAGCAAAACTGTCGCGCACAAATACATGTGCACCGATCGTGCGCCCAAGCTCAGTGTTGGCTCCCAGTGCGTCCACATGAGCTTTGTGCAGTACCAGGGCTGCGATCACCCCAGATCCACCCCCCCCCCCCCCCTCCCCCTCCCCTCCCCTCGCGTGAGCCTGTCCCTGGCCGCTGCCACAGGCCCCCGCCCGTCCCTCGGCACACCGCACGCGCGGTGGGCGCACCTCTTCCCTGCGATGATCTGCAGCACGGTGTTGCAGCCGCTGAGGCAGAAGTTGGTGCTAACCACGGTCGGGTGGCCGGCGGCGCGCGCCAGCCGCTGCACCAGCGTGGCCACCTCCAACTGCACCAGGCCCTCGGCTCGCGGCCGGCCCACGCCCAGGTCGTGCAGCTGCTGCAGCGCGAACCGGCGGTGCAGCGACCAGTGCGCGCCCTGGCCGAAGATGATGCCTGCGAGCAGGTGGAGCGTCAGCGGCGGCGGCGGGGCGGGGCGGGGCTCATGGCTTTGGTAGCGGCGAGGCCTGCGAGCAGGCGGAGCGTCAGCGGCCGCGGCGGGGCGGGGTGGGGCTCACGGCTTTGGTAGTGACGAGGCCTGCGAGCAGGTGGAGCGTCAGCGGCGGGGGCGGGGCGGGGGCGGGGCTCACGGCTTTGGTAGTGGCGAGGCCTGCGAGCAGGCTGGGACCGACGTCTGCAGGAGGAGTGAAGCTAACGAATGGGCAGCAGGATGGTATGAAAGGCCGAGGCAGTTGGGTTGCCGTCTGCGGTAAGGAGAGGTGATTGTCGGCAGGAAAAGAGAGAGAGGGAGAGAGAGAGAGAGAGAGAGAGAGAGAGAGAGAGAGAGAGAGAGAGAGAGAGAGAGAGAGAGAGAGAGAGAGAGAGAGAGAGAGAGAGAGAGAGAGAGAGAGAGAGAGAGAGAGAAAGAGAGAGAGAGAGAGAGAGAGAGAGAGAGAGAGAGAGAGAGAGAGAGAGAGAGAGAGAGAGAGAGAGAGAGAGAGAGAGAGAGAGAGAGAGAGAGAGAGAGAGAGAGAGAGAGAGAGAGAGAGAGAGAGAGAGAGAGAGAGAGAGAGGTGTTAACATTCCTGGCAGTGCGAGGTTAGCGTCTGTTGGCAGAGGCAGTTCTCAAGTCTGCGGGTGAGTGGTGCTGGTGTCTGCAGGATGGGTGGGCTTTACGTCTGCAGGCGGGGGGGGGGGGGGGCGGCACTGATGTCTTCTGTGGGAGGGGGGGGGGGCGTTGACAACCTACGACAGGCTGTGGTTCAGGTCTGCGTGCAGGGCTGGGTGGATGCCCGCGCCAAACTGTGGCATCTTCGCTGGCGGCCTGCAGTCAGGGTTCGCGGGAGTGGTGGAGATAACGTCTGCTGGCTGGGTAGAGTTAACGTCTGCTGACGGATCGGAGTTAACGTCTACTAGCGGGGTTGAGTTAGCGTCTGCTGGCGGGTTGGAGTTAACGTCTGCTGGCTTTGTGGAGTTAACGTCTGCGGGATGATTTGAGTTAACGTCTGCTGGCTGTTTGGAGTTAACATTTGCGGGATGGTTTGAGTCAACGTCTGCTGGCGGGGTGGAGTTAACGTCTGCTGGCGGGGTGGAGTTAACATCTGCTGGCGGAGTGGAGTTAACGTCTGCTGGTGGGGTGGGGTTAACGTCTGCGGGCGGAGTGGAGTTAACGTCTACGGGCGGGCGGCGTTAACGTCTGCTGGCGGGGTGGAGCTAACGTCTGCGGGCGGGTGGCGTTAACGTCTGCGGGCGGGTGGCGTTAACGTCTGCTAGCGGGGTGGAACCAACGTCTGCTCTTCGAGTGGGACGGGGTTGGCGTTTGTGGCAAGGTACGGTCACTGTCTGCAGGCAGAGTGACAGGGTTTGGTGGCAGCGCAGCCTGCGGTCCGGGTGGGATGATCTGCGCAGACAGTGCGGACAGTCTGGTAACGTCGGCGGTTACGTTTACAGGTAGGGTGAGGCTGACGTAGAAATGTGGCCAAACGCCGGTCAAGGGTGCCCCCCCCCCCCTCTCCCCACACTTCTCCCAAGCAAGAGGCTTGCACTGGGTATTGAGCGATTGTGTGGGACTTTGTTCTAGATGGGCAGGATTGCAGGATTGCAAATGTGCAGGATTTTGGAGTGAATCTGACCTCCGAAGAGGATGTTGAACACGTGCCTTGGTTAACGCCGAAAGAGAAGGCGGGTCGATGTCGGAAGCGGGAGCGGGAGGGGAGGGGGAGGGGAGGGATACGTTTACAGGGAGATTGAGAAGGCTGGTGATATTCTCCACGAAAAGTTGATAATCGCGAGATTTGTGCCGAGAAGGGCACTTTACAGCTAGCTGAACAGTAAGTAGTGATTTTCGTCGGGTGGGCGAAGATCAGGCTTGATCAGTGGCCACTTTATCCCTAAAAGGTCCGAATGAAATCCACGGATCACTGCTATCAGACATGATCAGCACGTGTTTTTCCTTACGGCAGTGATTCTTTGAAGCCACAGGCAGCTGCCAGAATGCAGCAGTTTTCTGTTTGCTGCACATGATCCGACCGACCACTGAAAGCGGGATGATCCGACCACCGCGTCTCACCGTTTCCCTTGAAGAAGGAGCGATTTTGAATCACGAACGTCTGCTCTCGGCCGGAAAACTCTGACTTGCTGAGGGTGCTACGAATCACCTCGAAGTCCCTCAGTATGATGACCGGCTGGCCAAACAGGTAAATCCCTGCGGATGGCATGCCATGTCATCACACGTCACCGCGTGATGACATGTGGGGTGAAGCCCGGCACTGCCGATAAATCCTTGCGGATGGCATGCCATGTCATCACACGTCACCGCGTGATGACATGTGGGAGAGTCTGGCACTGCCGATAAATCCCCGCGGATGGCATGTCATGTCATCACACTTCACCGCGTGATGACATGTGGGAGAGCCTGGCACTGCCGATAAATCCTTGCGGATGGCATGCCATGTCATCACACTTCACCGCGTGATGACATGTGAGGGGGGGGGGGGAAGCGTGGCACTGCCGATCACGGGCGTACGATGCGAAGGAAATATTTCACCGGCGACAATAACACTTCACACGGCGTGCTTTCAGAGATCATCTCGTTTCGCGCAACCGTACCAGTTACGCAAAATAGTGCATACTGACCATGCCATCTTCGACGAAGATGAAACACGCAAGCTAACAGCGGCTGATCTGTTTCTCCACACCCGTGACGTCTTCCGTGACGTTGCAATGCACCACCTCTGCGCGAGTTATGCCGTGCCAGCCCGCGAGACGCCTTGTCACGTATTGACACGCAGGCCCGATCAGGTCGGCTTAGGTCAGGTCGAGTCGGGTCAAGTCTGCTCGGGTGAGGTCTGGTCGGGTCGGGTTGAGTCAGATCGGACTGGGTCAGGTCGGCTTGGGTCAGGTCAAGTCGGGTCAAGTCTGGTCGGGTGAGGTCTGGTCGGGTCGGGTTGAGTCAGATCGGACTGCGTTAGGTCGGGACGGGTCAGGTCGGGTCGGGTCGGGTCGGGTCGGGTCGGGTTGAGTCAGATCGGACTGCGTTAGGTCGGGGACGGGTCAGGTCAAGTCAGGTCGGGTCGGGTCGGGTCGGGTCGGGTCGGGTCGGGCCGGGCCGCGTCGGGTCGGGTCGGGTCGGGTCGGGTCAAGTCGGGTCGGGTCGGGTCGGGTCAGGTCGGGTCGGGTTGGTAGACCGACCTCCACTCACCGATCACCTTTCCGTAGAGTTTGCCGAGCGCCTGGAACACCAGGTGGGGCAGCGTGGAACCCAGCTGCAGCGACGCCGTGCTGCCCAGCAGCGGCAGCAACGGCGGGCCTGCAGAGGCGATCGCCAGTCAGTCGACGTAGTCTGTTAACACGTCATGGAACATGTGATTACATGGCAGCTTAAAGCACTGCCCTGGAAAGAGCATACGGTACATGGGACCAAACAGGCGAGAATGATAAACAGAGCGAACTACAATCAGTGGGCTGAGGTCAGATTCCGTCTCTGGCCCGAGCGCATTAGCAGCTGTTTGAGAATCAACACGCCCTGGTCACAGCTGACCCTCCGAACCCGTTAACGCTGGATGTTTTCCACACCACCGCATCCGACTGCGTGTCAACCTCCACCCGCAGCGGCAGGCAGGCCGATCTCAATAGGGCAACGGCCTTTGTTGAGTAGGTGGCGTCATACTGGAACTGGGAGGCAAGAACGCTGAGGTGCGCGCCTTGAGGCGGCGAGAGGCAGTGGTCAGCACCTATCTTAGTCCAATGGGAGTAGGTCAGCAAAACAACGACGTCTCACCAGCCGTGGGAGCGTGTGGGTCTTGGACGGTAGCCGCAATATTACGTTATATGTAAATCATAGCAGTAGCCGCGTGGATTTTCTGCCTTAGGAAGTTCTAATTATCTTGTGATCGAGAGAATTCAGACATGGCTCGTGAAGATAGAGCGTGTCGACGCGTGCTCACGACAGGCGACGCCAAGAAGTACTCTCAAAAATGGAGGCTACATCTGATCCTGAACAGGCTGGTCTACATATCGCACTATCAAACCGGCTTGGGGTTACGATGCATCCATGTCGAAGTCGCATCTCGTCCGTGAGTGGAAGGTCTACCGCGGATGCTCGGCGGCACACGTGCCACGCGGCTGCATTTCCGTCTGTGATAAATAAGGAGCTTCACTCTGCCACGCGCCCATCTGCCTCCCCATGCACTTTGGCCGGCGGCAAAACGAGGAGATCTACTTAGGAGACTGAAGCAGAGCATCTCCTCATCATAAAACTGTCATTGAAGGCTGGTAAAAATATGTAACGCGAGAAACGAGAACTTCATTTTTTAGTTTCCCTTGCGCTCATTGATTTCCTTTGGTTTCCTTTGCTCATCGAACCGTGTTCGACAAACTATCCAACACGTCAAGTGGCAAGTAACTGCCGCCATTTTGAAAAGACCGTCACTACATCTTCATACCATCGTTCTGCGCGGTGATCACATCAATCAGCGTGACAATCACATCAATCAGCGTGGTGATCACATCAATCAGGCGAAGCGAGGTGAGGACGACCAGGACAGCCCGTATGTGGAAGTAAATCACATTCGTCTTTTGTTCTATTTCCATTATCACCTATTCATGTTTGCCGTTTGGCCGGTTGTTGACCAAAGGCCGACGAGTTCGACTTTTGCTCGACATTTTGCCTGTCGGAACTTGTTCCACTCGTATTTCAATGGTTTTATGTTGTCGATGACATTGTGGATGTTGACGAGAATGTGATGCATATCGGTGGAATGTGTCCACCGTTGCGTCATGAACGACGCTCCGCAACGTCGCCCCTGCTGTGATATTCAAACTGGTGCTCCTTCCCCCTCCCCCCTCCCTCCCACCCATCCACAGCCAGGTCGACAATGGTGGTGGATCTGAACAGCTGCTGAGACGAGTTCTTTCCACCCGCGCAGCGTGAAGGCGCACATGCGGGTGTATGCACCTCATCACCCGCATTTTCCAACTATATACAACATTATAGTTGATCCATCCGGAGCGTGGACGTAGAGTTGATATGTGTATGTTATTGGTAGTCTGTCATAGGCAAATAGCCCATAGGCATACGTATGTATGCGCTCCGGCGTGTTATCCATGATATGTAAGGTGCTACACAGTATATTACCAATGATGCGTACAATGCTATCTAGCATGTTACCTATGATGGATAAGAATGGGACCTTCCAAGAGGAGGCCCCGATTAGAAAAAAACGGGATCCTACTAGGCTGGGAAAAGGCTTTAGACGTATATGCCGGGCTGAGATCTTCTTTGAAAAAATGTTGACCAGCGCGGTCCGCGTGGTCCGCGCTGGCCACACGTCGCGCCGGCCGAGACCTGACCGCGGGCCGCGCCGGCTGAGACCTGACCGCGGGTCGCGGACCGGCCAGATGGACGGGCCGCTTCCGCCGCCGAGGTCGTCGGTCTGGTACGGCCCGCCCGGGTGGCTGACGTCAAAGAAAACATGAGAACCCTGCCGTGCACTCGCTAATGGGCCGTGACAACTCGTGATTCAGGTGGCAGGTGGCAATTCAAGAAAGGAAGGAAGGAAGAGTAACAGAGAGAGAGAGACAGAGAGAGAGAGTGAGGGGGAAGACAGAGAGAGAGACAGTGAAAGAGAGAGTGTGTGTGTGAGAGAGAGAGAGAGCGGGAGAGAGTGAGAGAGAGAGAGAGGGGGGAAGAGAGAGTGAGGGGAAGACAGAGAGAGAGAGAGAGACAGTGAAAGAGAGAGTGTGTGTGTGAGAGAGAGAAGAGAGCGGGAGAGAGTGAGAGAGAGAGTGAGAGAGAGAGAGAGAGAGAGAGAGAGGAGAGAGAGAGAGAGAGAGAGAGAGAGAGAGAGAGAGATAGAGAGAGAGAGAGAGATAGAGAGAGAGAGAGAGAGAGAGAGAGAGAGAGAGAAGAGCGAGGAGAGAGAGAGAAGAGAGAGAGAGAGAGAGAGAGAGAGAGATAGAGAGAGGGAGAGAGAGGAGAGAGGAAGAGAGAGAGAGAGAGAGAGAGAGAGAGAGAGAGGAGAGAGAGAGAGAGGAGAGAGAGAGAGAGAGAGAGAGAGAAGAGAGAGAGAGGAGAGAGAGAGAGAGGAGAGAGAGAGAGAGAGAGAGAGAGAGAGAGAGAGAGAGGAGAGAGAGAGAGAGAGAGGAGAGAGAGGAGAGAGAGAGAGGAGAGAGAAGAGAGAGAGAGAGAGAGAGAGAGAGTTGTTCGCAAGATGTGGAACACCAGCCGGGTGTGTGCGCGGTAAAGTATGTAAACCCCAGTCATCATCGGGGGTCGGGATGGGTATCTCCCTATGGGTAATTGAATATAAAGACAACAAGGCAACGACGTTCTCCACTTCATTTATGGGGACTGCTAAGCTGTCCAGAATTGCGCATTTGCGCCATCAGATATGGTGCACTAGCTGTGGCAACATGCACATTTCATATTTGCATGCACATTTTGGTTGAATTGGTTTTTAAGACATTTATTGCTACAACTAGCTAAATTTCAAGGCGGTTTGGAAACAGCATGTCTTCTATTGATTGACTCGGTGCACCACGCGGAAAGGAAGGGACTCAGAGGATTATGTGCCATTTCAGACCCAGATGTCTCGTTTTCACCACAAACAGACGGCTCGCGACAGAAAATTTGATCCTCGCCCTGATGCGCTGTGTCTCATAAGGTTGGGTCATAAGGAGCCAATTCTAAGGAGTCAGTTCTTTGCTGTTTCCAAAGTTATGAAGTTCAAGCTTAGTGAAAGCCACCAGTGGATTGGTCTTAAGCAGGTCTCGCAATTAGTGCAAGTTTTAATGTTGGCAGGTCAATGATTAACTCTATGATGCCAGATGGTCAAAGGTCAATTTCTTTTTTTTTTGTCTCAGAAAATCGCACTTTCTCAGATCCACAGCAGCGTGCATACGAGGCGATGACTGTTGACGAAGTCCAAACAGGCATGTTTCTTGTTCAATTCTCAGTACAATTATGTATATTTTGATGTGCTCTTGAGCGTAAATTTGTGACGTATAGCTCCATTAATGTAGCAGTATCGGTCCACCACGCACGATCCGCGGTATTGCCGGTTGCTGCCCGCCGGCCGCGCCCAGCCGTGGATCACTGTGCAGTGTTCCTCAAAAACCTGCTGCTGCTCTGAAACCAAAAAAAGCTAGGAACACGTTTTTTTGTGTCCAGACACGTACCATAGACTGCTGTTAATTTGGGCTCAGTTGCATGATATTAAATACGTCTTGTGAAAATGCTAGAACAGCTGTGAGACAAGTCGAATGACGGAGTCCTCATGCCGGAGAGGCATTCTCGAAAAACCGTGAGGGTTGCATCGACGCCTCCCCTGTCAAGACGAGGGTCAAAATCGGCGTATGCATTCTCACCGTTCTCCGAGCCCCTCTTAAGAAAAATCTGGCTGCGCCCTTGCCACGCGGCTTGTCAGTGGACAGACAGCTGCATGTCGATGTCCCGAGTCAGCACGTCGGCGGTGACCAGATGGTGCACCGCGCCCTTCTGCTGGATGTCGCTGGCCAGCTGTGGTGTGTATCACTAGTAGGCTTTTGCGGTGTGGTAGAAGTCAATAAACCGTTTTTTTCCTTTGTGAAGCTCGCGCTGTCATCCCTGGTTTGGAGATGACGCCAGGGTCGCATTAGTTATTTATCCTGTTCGGGCTATGAAAAACTGTGAGTCGGGGGGGGGGAGATGGAAGGAGTTTTATGATAGGAATGATAGTATTTGATAACATGCAACATTTAAGACGAAATAAGACGAACATAGCAGTTATCATCATACAGCGTATGAAGCATTTCTTAAAGGTTTTTAGGCTTGCCTTGTTCACTGGTCTGTAGGTCTGAGATCAAAGTGGCCAATAATTGAATTGTTTAGCAATGACAAACGTGTGCATCAGGGTTGTCAGGCCACCGAGCCTGTGCTCCAGAGGTCGCTTCACTTATTTCGCTGCTTCCCTCTCAGTAGCACAGTCAGGATTGTGCCCAGAGGGGAGGGGAAGGGGGCCAAGTCGGGAAATGGGGAGCGCTTTCAGCCAAGGGGGCCCCTTTATTCCTACAGGAGCTTTATTTTATATTCGAAGGATCATTTTAGGTTTGGGATCCCATTTTCATAGCTCGATGGCCTGTCTTTACGTGCCGGAAACCCATTTGCGCCTTAAGCAACATCCTTCATAACCAAAAAGTACTGAGGGATGGGGCCGTATTATCCCCTCCCCTCCCCACCTCCAACGGGGTCCATGGGCCCAAAATCCAGCTCCCTTTGGCTACGCAACCATTCAGTATCTCCAGGAGGTACCCGCCTCATGTCTCTACCCATCCCAGTGTCCTCCTCATCCGGCACTAGGTCCCCCAGCGTCTGACCCTCCCTTGGTGCTCCAGCAGGCTGGTTCACCCTGATGCTGCCTCATAAATCACTTCACAACAGCTGTAGTTTCTCTCAATTTTCTCTCTTGATTTTAATCTGGCGATAGCTTTCTTTTCAATCTTTGGGCCCCATCTACATTGATAACTTCTATCATACTCTATTCTTTCAGACATAAAGCGAGAACAATTCCATGGCGGACACATTCTTCCCCAGCTGCAGGTGCAGGAGATGAAGGTCTTCACTTTGCACGCACTGGGCTTGTCTTGGCCAGGCTTTTGATCTTAATGTAGGCAGGAGTATAGTTTCATTTTCACTTGGGAGCTCCAGCCCCTCCCCCACAATTTTGAGAGAGAAATGAACTAAATTCGGGGAGAAACACGTTTGTTGACGCATTTTAACGGGCTGGTTGCATAATGTTTCATGGTTCTGCCCCGCTAACCCATTTTCTGAAGCTATGCCCTTTTCATGCAGGTAAATTGTGTAGCGAGAAGCACCGAGGCCTCTCCCCTTCGCGCAGACATTCTTACATTGTCTTGTTGGACCAATGCCAGACCACGCCATTCAACTTGTCTCACAGTTGTTCAGACCTTCTCACAAGATGTATTTGATGACCCTGGGAGGTTTAAAGTAACTGGTGGAATTTGCCATTGGGCCCGAATTAGGGGCGGCAGGTGTCTGGCAGTCAGCCCCTCCGAGCAATGTGACTTAAAAAAGCTTTCCTCCACCTGGCCTTCTGCTGCAGCAGTACCCCTCGTCTGACGACATATATGTTGGTTAGCACCTATGATTGCAAAAACCCACCCAACCCCAATAAGATCTGTCAGCTTACTGTAAACGGCTTACGCCCTCTGGAATTCGGCGATAATTCAGTCGAGAACAGCTTAAAACTGAGACCTAAAACTAATCACTCAAAGTAAGCAAACAATCTGAGTGTGATAACTTTTCTTAGTCATCATGCAAATGCTGCAAAAACAGCAAAACTTGACCCTCGCCTGGGTTCACCGCTTTCATACCGTGAACGAATAGGGGGCCATGGGACCCCTCTTCTCCTGCTATTTACGGACTGAGAAGGATGGAGCCTCGCAAAAAACGGGGGGGGAGGGTGATTGATTACGCGTTTTCTGTTGCTATGACTATGATTGGTTCTACTGGGTCACGTCAATGGTCAAACTTTCCCGAAAATCACGCCATTTTACTTAACGCGCCAACGTTTAGGAAACCACATAACGTAGCAGCCTTAAACATATCCAGTCGCGCTACTGGTCTGTTACGTCACGCCCCGGTTGACGATGATGCCAGGATTTTTTGTCAGTCCGTCAGCATGGAGAGAAAGCGCTACCAGATTAAAAAATCACTCTGAATGAAGCGGGTGTTTGATTTGGTTGCTCTTACGTTGGCCAGTGCGCTACAGGGGTGTCCATTTTTGTAAATTATTGGGGAGGGGGGTCGAATCGAAGGCCCTCCCGCCTACCCTCCCGCCATTTTTCCTTACCGGATGTAGCCCCCTTGTTAATCGCAATACATGTCTTTTATCTTCGCATAATTTATGAAAGCATTTAATTTAAGCAATATAGAAGTCGTGCACGGTTGGATCCGGACAACAGGCATGGGACGCACGCGTCTCTTCTGATCGACACGTAAAGGCGCCCCTTTAAAGGCCTCCTTAGGCGCCCATGGCGCTCTTTTATGGCGGTCATGGGAGGTGGTACGCATTTTGGTTGTAGGGGACGGGAACGGGTTTAGCCATGAAGAACTTATGTCATCCCCAGTTGCCAGTGCTTTTCACTTTAACCTCACAAACCATTGCGTGTCTTATGGCGCTAGGTACGTGAAGTTTATTGCATCGTTTATCCGTTCACCTGTTACGATTTGTATCTTGTGGTGAGAGCGACCGTGACTTTTTGTTATGAGAGTGGTACGAGACGCCACTACAAAGAAAGGTCAAAGAAGGCAGTCGTTGTGTTCGATCATCTTTTACCCGCCTTTTTGTAGTATTCCGGCCAAAAACATACGGGGGGGGGGGGGCAAGCCGACAATGGGGGACGGGCCAACTTAACATTGAGGGGGGGGGGGGTGAAGGGCTATCACAAAAGAATGCAAATCGACACCCGTGGTGCATTAGGTGGGGTGGGGGCACTTGTCTCTAATTTTGATCGAGATGCGGCGTGAGATAGATAAGGAGGGGACTTGAAATGTCAAGAGTAGGCTTGAAACGGTGAGTGACAGTGATTGGTGTGGTGTGTGGTTGGTTACCCGGCAAATTAGTAGCGTCATAAGTAAAGACTTAAAATGAGAGGGAAGAAATTGAAATAAATTGGAAATGGGAAAAACACCCAATATACTAATGGGATAGATGACCGTAATACCGGAGCAGAAGCCACAATTCCAAACACCACTCTGTACGTAGTGTGTCGGTGGTAAGCCAGAACTAGTGTGTGGTCTGTAGTAAAAAATAAAGGAAAAAGGGAACTTAAAGTTTAAAACTTTCCCTTAAGCCTACATATTGAACGCACCGTCAGCACGCATGACGTCACGCATTCCAGCTGACAAATGTGCTGACGACAGATGGAACGCGGCCAAAGCTCTTTAAATGTAGCGGTGTCGTCTGGCCGCCTGTGATTGGCGGATTCGTCGGCTGACAGCCGTCGCCCTCGCCGCCACGAGATGGCCACTCCGTGCTCCCAAAAACGTCTCTGCTTGGCAGTCAGAAATGCTCGACACACTTTTGTGGTGCCGAAGCAAACTCCATGAATGCCCCGATATTATTAAAACATTTTGGTGCGAATACATGGCCTGTCAATATATAAATATATATATATATATATATATATATATATATATATATATATATTGTGACCGTGAATATATTGTGATGTTGCTACATGGACTAGTCTTCCCCTTATCGAGGCGAGTGGGGTGAGGTAAGAGGAGAAAAGGGTGCAAGCGAAGAGAGAATGCACAATTTTCGGTAGCGAAACCGTCGTTAATAAAAAAATTAGGCGGGCAGTCTTCTTAACATCTAAAATTGAATTTCACAGCGGCGCACGTCCGTCCCGACCCTAGAAGCGTGTGTAATGTTTGCCACCGCTCCCACGACGCAGAGTGACACTCGGTATCATTGCCTCACCTGGTGGAAAGTTGACCGGCTTCCTGTAGATCTCGCGAACAACGAGAAGCAGGACGGCAACAATGAGGGCGCCGGCAAGCCATTCTATCATGGCTGGTATCTGTAACAACAAAGTAACACTGATGATAATCACGCATTGAAGTATCGCTTGACATAACGTAGAGCTTGCAGTTTGTGGGTTCGCCTATGGTGTCCCCACGACGTAGTAATTGGTGTAGATCAGAAAACTGTCTGTCACACTTTCCTTAATCTCATCTTCCGATGACAGATGCCGTCAACAAAAACAGTCACACAGGTTTGTCAACAAACCTGCAGTTTTTCTTTAGTTTTCCAGTTTGTTGGAACATCAGGGACATGATGAGTTCTGAGCTCTTATGCTCCGGCCTCTGAGAACCTGAACTCACAATGCCGAAAGACAAGAACTTTTCCCTTACATCATCCCATAAACCATTCTCCCTTACATCATGGACAATCAGGGGCTGTAGATTAAGGACCCGGAACAGATTGTTTTTCAATGTCGCCAATATGTAACATCTGTCAACATTTCATCCACTCATCATACCAGTGCCGCGCTCGAAAATTAAAGTACACAAATGTAATCATTGCGTCGTGTATGACAGAAATGTAAGAATAGCGCAAGCGTTCCCACAGCATGCATCTTGGACGCACACAAGTCTGATGGACAGGGCGCCTCATATATCAGCGCCGCCAGTCCACAGGAGCTGGCAGTGGGCGTGGGTGGTGTCACGAAGTGGTCGCACTGGCGACAATGTTGACACATATCTGGACTTTAAGGCAAACCTGAGCACCCTTAAAATGGAAGCACGCTTCTTGAGGTGAAAGAAAGCTAGTCCGATTTTCGGCGTTAGCAAGAAGTTATTATGAGGGAAGTTGTCTTGCAATGTCTGACCTTAATTAAGTGCAGGTGCTTTCCAAGCGGTAGGTTACTGAGGTGCAGGCACCCAATTCCTTTGCACTCAGTGCGGTTAGCCAATGGAGTGCGTGCGAATTCAAAACACGTGACTAGGCGGACCTGCCTGCCACCACGCTAGCCAATCAGCTTGATGGAGACTTGACCTAGGAATCGTTATGCTGTTTGGTCTGAAAATTAGCATCAGAAATATTGACAAGTGGTAAAGCCACGGGAAAGGGCTGAAGTTACGGGCAGTTTGGCCTCTGAATGTGCCGCTTGGAGCTCCAAAGCCCCGCAAAGTTTTAATATGCTCAAGAATATTCTCGACAGAAGAGGCCCCTTGACCCCAAGGAATCCAGGAAAGCACTTAGACTATGCTGGCTGCTGTAATCGTCTTAAGTACAGAGACAGCGTCACCATGGTAATAAAAGACAGCCGCCCCCTTGCCATTACTAAAAGACGAACATGTCTATTCGTTCTTTCAAATTTCAGGAAGCTCCATCATGCCGACAGGAGGCTTCGTTTAACCGAGACAGAACAGTTCCTCAAATGGAACGGAGAGCTCTTATGGCATGCAGAAACAAGTCCATCTGACTCGTCCGGGGCTCTAGATTATCAACACCAAAAAAGCCTGTTGATGCAATTTAACTGCGGAACCATGCGCGGTTTTTCCTGCGTTCGTCTATCTGTATTCCATGCTGCTTCATTATAATCTCCTTTTCTGATTTATCTTCCTCTTTTTCTGGTGGATCGGAGGTATAAGAAAATCTAGGGGAAGTGCGGTGGAATGCAAAGAAAGGCGGGAGCCCCCACTCAGCCATAGATAATTTGTATTGCATTTTGTTTGCTAACAGATACGTGAAAACATGTGGGCGAACCAGAGGAAAAAGTTCAGATTAGGTTGGCTTAAGACACTCCTAGATCTGTTTGCCCCTTAGAAAAAGACACTGGCACCGCGTATGCCAAAGTAAGATAGCTTTGACAGTGTCTCCTTAGTTAAATGCAACCAAACTTATCTAGATTTAGATGAAATGCATGATGCGAATACAGGCTGTTGCATCTCTAGATAATTTTTACTGTGTCGATGAATAGAAAGTGTGATGACTCATAAGTGTAACGACTATTCCTAGTATACTGTTTTAATCATGCCACGCTGTGCTCATTTCAAGCGACGCCTGTTTCGATCAGTGCCTCTAATTTCGCCTAGAATCGAGCACCAAGAGGGCTGTTTGAAGCGGGTTTCATCACCTCCCTCCATTGTCATTGGGCTTTATACGTTCTCAGCTGTTAAGGCTATATGGCGTCGTCTATCTCCCACCCACACTGAAAGACAGGAAGAGCATGCAACGCCAGGAATCAAACCCCGTGCCTCATCAACCGCCCGTCTCCGCGTCCGCCCGTCTTCGTGTTCAAATGAAGTGCTCTTCTTTCACTTGCGGTACTTCCTGATGCCGCCAAAATCCCCTCCAGGAACATTTGCACTTGCCTGTGGCAAATCCTGCCTCCGCGTCCCCAAGTGGACGCTCGATTGTCGCTACCAGTTTGATAGCCAGCGCTACGTAATATCCACACACCAACACCATACCAATCACGCTGTCTCACGAAACGGTACTGGCTGAACCAGCTCACAAAACTCCACCATTTCAATCACCGTCGCACCTCATTTTGCAACGTTTGCAAGATGGCTGATGATTTCAGCTCAGTTACGCGATGCGATATGTGATATGGTTAATCCAATTCTGTTCCAGTCATGGGCCGATTTACAAATCGTAGGGGGTTGAATGGGCACTAAGAACGACGCAAGTAAGACGACTTGTCTATTAAGTTTTTAGGAACAGCGTAGTTTTGGAGACAGTAGGTGATTACAGGTAAGAAAGAATTTGAAAATTTCCATATTCTGGCTCGTTGTTTGATGGCATTGCAAGGAAGCTAGGCAACTCCGCATTTTTCCGTTTTACTCCCGCCTCCAAAGTAAAGCAGGGATTAAAATGAGGTAGTCAGGAAAAAAATGAGGCAGGTAGTATGAGAAGCCAACCATAGTGAGAACGCAGCATGGTACGTTGCAAGATCATCACGACAGACAAATTTTGTTCCTTCCTTTTAGCTGGTGCCCGGTGGTGAGTCCATTTCGCATTAGAGCTTTCTGTTCCCTGGCCTCCTAGCGCCACTGTTAGGTGACTAGCGTCCCGGGTACAGTAAACGTAGGATTTTACGGAGCTGGCGACCAAACTGGCTTGAAAAAAGGGAGATGCTTTAGCGAAATTGTTGGAATGATGCTAGATTTGTTACGATATACGACTCTTTACCCTTGGTTGCACGCATCATGTTATTGTACAAAAGAAATCGTCTTCAATTTGTTATCAACAAAAATATGCAATAAAACAATGAATTCACCAAGGATGCACGCTAAGTTGTGTTGTTTAGGTTCTGCATCGGACAAATGGCATGCAAAGCTCACAGTGACTGCGCTATTTTTGGTATAACAGTTGTGGAAAGGGAGACAAAATTGACGCTGTATGCTCACGACACAATTATCGTCGTTGATAGAATAGAACGGTCGCTGAAAAAGTCCTTGCAGGTAATGTGCGTATGCAGGTAATGTAAGAACTGCACACCAGTAAACATATGGATAGGAGATAAAAGGAGCCCATTGAGCAGACCTTTCCACAAACACAAGCTTCCCTAGAGCAACCACGCGGTCCAATTTCGGGTATTGCAATTGGCACAAAACTTGCCAGAACTCCATGCCTTGATTGATCACGAGTACAGAATCAATTATTAGGGACGTACATATGCGCTAAGATGACAGCAAGTGATATATTACATCACGCAGTCATCCAAAATAAAACTGCGGACCACCGTTTATTGACAGGTAGGAAGCTACCACTTTTTTGACAAAGGGCGTTTAAACTTCGCGTTAAGACAAACTCAAACACCATCTAGGCCTCTCAAAAATGTAAAGCTAAGTAGCGTTTTCCTCATATTGCCTCGAGTCTCCATTATATTCTCTTTCCCTTAAAATAGCATGAGAGATGATCAGACAGAAGCAGGGTGTGTCTTAAATCATCAGCTTAAAACCTAACATCAATACCAACTTTCTTACATTCATTTATGCTCTTCGTCTGGCTGCACGGGATCATCATGGCGAAATGTGAAGCAAATTTCGGTGCAAGGAAAGACCCTGCAAAGAGTGTCTTATGCATTAACATGTCAAAGAGTGCAGATGTCACAACGTAAGCAACTAAGCACACTCCTCGATTGCCGGGCAACCTGGGCGTAAAATGACCGAGAAGTCGGCGCGCCCTAAAACTCCAACCACCACCATCGGTTGCCGGGCAAGTGGCCTCGAGGCAGAAGCCCGTATCGCTGAGATCGTGCATAAAATATCCGTGAGTGGCAAAGTTCGCACCTCACATGTCCGAATTGGAAATGTTCGTACGCACGGGTACTCCAACATATAAGTATGCTTGCCGTAAACGTCCGTGAACCGCCAATGCAGATTGGTATCTCGGGTTCTAAGAAAAATGTGAACCTTGGCATCATAACGAAGGGACTGGAGGAGGCGGCTCAGGCCGAAACCATGATGACGAGCGCATTGCTGCATTAGTTCAACTGAAGCTTTGACATCAGAGCGCTGGATGCCAACGCCGTGCACGTTTTGAGACTATGCAATGTTGATGTTAAATGCCACGTTATTAAATCCCGACTAGATCAGGAGCGACATGTCGCTGCATCAAAGCCAACAGCGTGAGCCAACGACACCGGCCACTACGCGCCAGGTCATGAGCAGGCGCGGGACCAAAAAATGTTCTGAGTGGGGGGGGGGGGGGGCAAAATCAAATTTCCTTTAAAATTTGTTCATTTGAACGGAATTCTTGTGAACTTGCTCAGCATCTTATGCAAAGCTCTTGGCTGAAAGGGCGAGAGGGGCGTGGCTGCCGTTGCCCTCCCATTGGCTACGCCCATGGCCATGGCTGCAGCTTCTGCGGTAAACGAGAGTAGGTAGGGTTCCTTGAAGACTAATGCTAGACAGCACGCTCTGCGAACATGCCTCCTGCAACGTATCCTGCGAGTTTTTCCACTGCGTTTTAATAGGTTTGTTTCTTAAGTGCTGCATGTTCCACAAAGGTCTACATTGCGAGCATTAACGCACACGAACATACGCATCCTAAGACCACGATGCGAACATTGGCACGTGGGAAATCTGCGATGCCAACATTTTGCACGCACAAATTTAACATTTCTGTGCGGACATTTCTCATGCAAAGATGTATCTTAAAAGCCTTCCCCAGGCAAGTTCACAGGTACTTTCCATCTGACATGTTTTCATAAATGCATTTGCTCGATAATAATTAAGCTGTGCTTGTTGATTTCCAAGCATCTAGATGAAGTTCTGAAACGCTGGCCACAGTAAGCAACGGTTCATCAACAGTAAGATACAGAATTATAACTCGAAGGTGTCTGGCGGCTGTGTGACATTGTGCTGTGTGACATTGTGCGGCTTGATTTATCTGGCAGCAAGTTAGCCTTGGCTTTTGTCCGCACCATTCACTAGATGTTAGGCTTGCCACTTCCGTCTCGCGCAGGCGACCAAACTTACCGTTTCCAGATGCATACATTGCTTAGCGACGTCTTGCACACGCCAGATCTTTGTGGCCATGCGGTAGAACTTTTCAGTGAACCATAAAGCTACAGGAAGGATCCGTGCCAGTGCGAACCTTGCCGAGATCTTCAGATTATAACGTGTTTGAAGAAATACATATATACTTGTCAGTACTATAAATACAACTATATAAATATATATATATATATATATATATATATATATATATATATATATATATGTATGTATGTATATATAAATAATATAAGATATATATATATATATATGTATATATATATATATATATATATATATATATAGCACAATAATATGAATACAAATATACTTGTATACTATACGCCACTGGCAACATACGCGTGATGTCATTGTAACAACTCGGAATTGGAATCCAAGCTGTTGGCGACAGAACAATGACGGAGAGGGTAAAGCGTTCGATGCTGTTTGAGTGGTTGAAATATAACTCCTCCGGGCATGTAGCCATACTTTTCTTCAAAGGGAGAGGGTGCAAATGTTAAATTTTCTCCGACAGAAGACGGATGGCAGTCTCAGTCGACACCCAGCTGCACCTTCTATTTCTCAGTTTGTTTCGTCCGCATTCGTGCGCGCGTCTTGGGGACACCGCGGCAGACGCATTGTCTACATATCGTTCAAAAGTATAGTAATCAGCGGAAATGTGTGGTTCACTTGCCGCAAATACCACAACGCATTGGGCGTCTGCTTGCCAAGAATTTTGGGCTGGCGCGAAGTTTCCTCCAAGATGTCTGGCGGCACTCGTATTAGTTATGCATGGGACATGTTGTGTCTGTGATATGCTGGACCAACTGACTGATCTACTGCCAATGACTGATTGATTATCACTACCATGATTGCTTTGACTTATTGTCGTCCAGACAGTCGACATTTACAGTGCCTATGTAGAACCTTAATTTCTAGCTGAGTAGCAGAAACCGAGGTGGCGGTTATTGTAAAAGAAACTCAAACTAATTAAAAATGTCTGAATTTGTGATATGACGATGACTGCGAATTACGAAAGATCAGAGATGATGGTACGGTGTCAAAACATTGCAACGCATTCAGTTTGCTTGCAATGACATCTATTAAATGCAATAAAAAATAAATGCAGCTTCTCCACCACGTGGGTTATGCTATGTACCCCGGAGTGGGACGGGATTTCAGAATTGACGGCGGTCTATTCATAAATAATTTACCAGAAACGAGGACACGCTTTCCAAAACTGTGCCACCACACATGCAGCTGGGGCGTGGCGGTTGTGTGCATACATCGAAATCTTTTCCGTTCCTCAGCAGATATAGCATAGGGCGCTTATAGCAAAAACTGCTACAATTCTCTTCCCTTATTCCTATAGATAGGAGAGCGTGTACATCTAGTGCACTCTAGACTAAGTCTAGTCCAGTGGACCTCTTGGCTCAGGGGGAGGATGCCCCGTGCCCTTTTCCCACTCTGGGTCCGCCTTGATTCGTTTCCCTCCCGCTACAGGGTGTATCTTTAGCGGAGATTGCGGGGTGGCAGCTAACATTTCGGCTTCTGCATTCATCCATGTGCAGTGCTAAACGCAACGCAGAATTTCTTTGGTCTGCTATGGCTCTAATCCAGATAACCAAACCAAATATTTGGGATGCTGAAGCTCCTGATGCTTTTGCAGAATCGTGTGCGCTAATGCTTGCATTCGTCAGCGCGGATATTGATCCTGAGAAGAGTAGTAATTTTTCAGATTATTTAAGTTTTCATCAAAGTCTACTTCAAAGAGCTTGATAGAACCACAATAGCAGACGTTAACAGAACTAAATCTGTCCCGCATAATAGATCGCCAATTGCACATTAAGCACTACACCGCTCAGGAAAAAGTGCTCATGAACTCACTAATGACATCAACGCCAAATCAATCCTTTTCATGATGGTGCCAGCTCGGGGCATGAGATCATCCTATTCAAGAGTATCGGTGAACACGTGGCAATTATCTCGCACCACGCCGCGCTAGGCTGGTTTGTGGTCATCCAACGCATGACGTACCGCGCCGCGCGGCTCCCCGTCTGGGATCAGCCTCGTCGGGGAGACGCCCCGCCGTGCGGCGCCGCGCGGTACCCCGTCTGGGGTGAGTTTCTCCGAGGAGACGCCGTACCGCGCCGCGCGGCTCCCCGTCTGGGGCCAGCCTCGTCGAGGAGACGCCCCGCCGTACCGCGCCGCGTGGCTTCCCGTCTGGGGTCAGCTTCTCGGAGGAGGCGCCTCGGCGTAGCGCGGCGGCGATGAGCGCACGCCGCGGTACCCAGGAGCGGGGTGGTCTGCGAGGCGGGGACGGTCATGGGTTTCGTGATCACTCTGGAGAGCATCACTTGCCCATAAGAGGCGCTGACTTGGAGAGCGCTGACAGCACACGACTGACGCGGTGTTTATTTCAGCGGAGTGACTGACTACGAAATCTGACTCAATCGACTTCGCAGATGCCGTCGCTCCCAGCATCACGCTTTATAACGCTACATCTGTACTCCGAAGTACAGTGGGACCAATGTTCGTCGCCAAGGCTACTTATCAACATGAACCCACGCAGCCGGCGCGGCGTTCGAGATCGAAAAAAAACAAGCACGTGACAACAAACATCAATATACCTGCCACGTGCGTGCAGGTGTGACCATTACCAGTGACGTAATTCAGGATCGTGAGTAGCATTGCCATCTATTGGCTATAGGTCGTAACAACGACGGCTCCGTGGCGAGTGAGACAGCGGGAGTATTTGCATTGGTTGGTAACCCATGGGTATCTTAGGACGTCGCATGTTACATATTCCCGAGTCGCTCTGTTGCCTGCCAGCTGTGGATGCATTGCCCTCCCGTTTACACTGGCTTTGGCAGATCAGTGAACGGTAAAATTCCCAGTGTTGGAGGAGTAGGAAACGCATTCAGGTGCATAGGCCCCATTACCCTGTTCAACACCAGTGCAGCCTAGGACCCTTGCGACACATATTTTGAGAATCCTAATGCCGGCCGATTTCGCATCCGCGACCAAATGCTCCGAATGGGTTGCCAGCAGGTTTGTATGTGCACGAGCGCCTACTTAGACCTAGAGCAAATGCGCTACATTGGATCACTTCTGGAGTTGACCATCACAGCGCTGATAAATTTGCTACGTTGGGCTAACAAAAATCGCGCGCTTAAAGCTTATGGAGTTGATCCTTCATACTGGTAATGTGAGTCACAAATAAGACTTCTATAACTGAACTCCGTCAGATTCAATGTATGTAACAGATCTACAGTTTGATCCAATGGCAAGCGCCTTACACAACTATCGGCAGAACTCGTCGGATCAGCCGAGATTGTCCTCATCCAACGCAAACAGCCCAGCGGTCAGACTACTCGGCAGTCAGACTACCCGGCGGTCAGACCACTCGGCGGTCAGACCATCCGGCGATCAGACTCCCCGGCGGTCATACTACCCGTCAGTCAGACTCCCCGGCGGTCATACTACCCGTCAGTCAGACTCCCCGGCGGTCATACTACCCGTCAGTCGACTACCCGGTGGTCAGACTACCCGGCGGTCAGACCACCCGGCGGTCAGACTAACTGGCGGTCAGACTAGCTGGCGGTCAGACTACCCTGCGGTCAGACTACCCGGCGGTCAGACTAAGCACGGCTCGGCTTCAGCGGACGCAGCAATCCGGCCTCACATGCGACGGGCTAGTCAGTGTCAGTGTTCTGTCGACCAGCAGGCACGTCCTTGTCTGTCCCGCTTTCCCCTGACCTCGGGACATTTCGTGCGCGGTGAAACCCTGCTTGATCCGTCGCCGATCTCGCCTCATAAGAGAGGCCTGCCTTCAAATCCACCCAAGTCTGACAGGCGCTAGCGGGGGATGGCCACTGAGTGACGCCTCGCAACCGCTTGTCGCAGCTTTCACTGGCCTCCAACTGGTTGACGTGACACCCGACCTGCTTGGCCCCGGCGAAGCGGTTAGGCAGCTCCGCCGCTGGAACGTGCGACAACAGTTTAATTTGTCACCGCGTCTAGCGGCGGCCGCTTTGTCTCGCTTTAATTTGCTACTTAATCGCTTTGATTTTTATTTTAAGGCCTCATTCGGCGGCTCCGTCACCTATTAGTGCGTTTTCAGTCCACTCCTTATCTGACATTCCTCGTTAGCAAGCTTCCGTTGTTAAGTGAGATCACCCGCTCGATCATTCCTCGCTGTCTTCCTCTTTTATATCAATTTCTCATCAGCGGTTCCCGTCGCCACAATGGTCGCGGTGATCAGCGGCTACTTCCAACGCCGCTCTCGTCAGCACGCTCCCCCGTCCCCGCCCCGCTGTCGAGCTCACCTGAGAGTGGCCACCGTGGGCACGAGACGAGCGCCACGCAGAGCCACGGCGGCGGCGGCTGGTCCAGCTGCGCTTCACGTCAGTGTTCGACTGCCGCCGCCTCCTCCGCCAGCGCCGCCGCCGCCGGTGGGCGACCGTCACCGCCCGCCGCCCGCCCCGCCCCCACCCGCTCCTCCCGCTGCGTCGTCACGACGCCCGCGGCAGCGTTCGCCGCTGAAAAAGTTGTTTACCAGCTGGGCGTTGCGCGTATGCGGATAGAGGTCGATATGTGGCGCGGCCGGAGCTGCGCCGATTTCGGTGCGCCACGTGTCGCGGCGTTGTTTGTCTGGCCGGCGTGCCGGCGGGGCACAACAGACGCGGCGGGAGGCGGGGCCGGCGCGCACTCGCGCAAAACATACGCGCAACACGTGCGTCGCAGCGTGTGGGATGGCGCGTGGTGTGCCGCCGGACACGGGGATGTCTCGGTGGTGAGCGGGTGCGGGACGCACCGCCACCTGAAGCGATGCCTTCCAACAGATTTTGGGCATGTCAATGGCGTACTTTAAAACATTCTCTCTGTGCAGCGCCATATACGTCATGTTGATTTGCTGTGATGTTGGTGTCGGTGTAGTTTTTAATTCATTTGAGAAGGAGGACTCCAGCTACTCCCCTTCCAATTTGGGCTCCAGCTCCACCCCTCAACTTTGAGAAGAAAGTGGGCAAATGATCCGGAGACCGTTTTGTTGGCACGTTCGGGAAGGGTTGGTTGCGCCATTTTTTACTACTAAACCTCGAATCTCACTTTATAAAACTACGTCCCCGGATGCTGGGGATGCAGCTGTATCCACAATGTGATCAGGGAGATTCTGGGCGGCTCATGCACCCAACAATGGCTAAGCGTCGCATACACAGATGGATTAGTCTTCACATTAGTGGCGACTAATCTGGAGACCGCAGCTATGCGACACGTTGGCGTGGCTGCAGCTATGCGACACGTTGGCGTGGCTGCAGCTATGCGACACGTTGGCGTGGCTGCAGCTATGCGACACGTTGGCGTGACTGCAGCTATGTGACACGTTGGCGTGACTGCAGCTATGCGACTCGTTGGCGTGATTGCAGCTATGCGACTCGTTGGCGTGATTGCAGCTATGCGACACGTTGCCGTGGCTGCAGTCATGCGACACAAGCATAACCGCAGCCACGCGACGTGCTGTTAGAAGTTAACAGGAAGTGTGGGAAAACCATCGATAAACCAGGGAGAAGAAAGCCTTGAAGATATGTACATCTGGTTACACCATGACGCATGTAATGATGTAATGGAATTCGGACACATTGTCCTAACAATGACACTTCTCATGCCATGAACAGGCTTGGGAAATCCGGGAACAGGTATGGTCAAACGGCAGGAGCGCGGGAGCTTGTCCAGGATAGGGGCGGGGAACAGGTGTGTTTGGATTGGTCTCTCTGCTTCTGGCACCATAAGCCTAGTGCCAAATTTCCCTCAAAGTTTAAGCCTCCAACTCCCCTCTTACAGGGCGCCAGATCTGCGCCTGTGACTTTAAGCACATTTATTCATCAAGACTACGGGCTCGACGTTGTTAACCGTAGCTATCATCTATTGCCATATCGGCCAGCGCAGAACGTGATCTACATACATTTGCATTTGTACCAATTTTTGAACGACTGTACCATCGACTCAAATTCGTGATTCCATTTGGGTCCCGGACGCACTGTATGGCCGCCTTACCGGCCCCAGGGCCGCAACAAGGAAGTGGAAGCGAACCCAGCTTCCGCGCCCAGTTTTCCGTACAAATTATATCGGATGCCTGCTGCGTACATCGGCGGCGGGTGCTAAGCAAGATTACTGCAGGAAGTTGAGACAGAATGCATTCCTCAGTGTGCAGGTACTAAAAATGCACTTCGGTCGGTGGGGATTTATTTATCTGCTGTCATATCCGTCATCTCTGCCAAATCATACGTCCTTATCGGCATCGCGAGAAGACGCGTACGTATACCAAAGCGATGTGTGGTATTGATGAGCGGAGCTTCCCATGTATTTTTTAGTGAAACGTAGGGTCATCACAACGGCTTTGAGCTTTTGCATGGGGTGTATAGATGCTATTTAAAAAATGACCTTCAATCCCGGTGAGCCCGATGTTTTTGAAAGGATTCCACCTTAAAGAGAATGTTCCACGGTGAAATTCGAACTGAACTGGCTTTGAACTAAAATAGCCATTTTGAGATCAGTTGGTGCAGTTCACAGCTCTGCCCGGCCCTAAAACCGGATAATTTCTGAGCTATACGTTCACGAAGATGTGCGCATTATTTCGTAAGGACTATTTCAAGGCCATTCGGGGACTATGATACACAGCATCATCGTTCAAGTCCTGCCACTGCACAGGCCATGCGGCGTTTAAGGCCAGGAAGAATATTGTTGTCGGCCCGTTCAAAGCTGGCGTCCGCAAGCAGGATTTGCAAATTTCGCGGACATTGATCGGTTCTCAATAAATGTTGAGCTGACTGTGGAACTTTCAGTCAAGAATGGCGTTGCGTGCTTCGTAATACAGAAGCTGGACGTCGTTGCTAGGCATTACGGAAATAAGGCTTGTATTTGAATAACTTAACAATAGCGCCATGGCCAAGTATGCGAATACAAGTCACCATCTAAAGCTCACGAATAAATATGCAAGGGCGCGACGAGAAAGGGCCCAAGCCCGAGCCCGAAATTTGGCTCAGCGAACACTTCCAGCACCGCCACTGCCATCTCTCGGTGAGTGTTAAGCACTACGAGTGAGTGCTACGGTAGCAATTTCTCATGGCTAGTTCGGCAGCTCCTCAGTGTCATGCAAAGGTTTCATGCCGCAATTAGATAATGACGTATTGAGAAGCATGTTTGCTTCATAGACAAATTTTGTTGTCTAGAACAGTCTTTTCCCGTTTATACATAATTATAGCTATAAGTGAGACTATCTCATCCAGTAGCGCAGTCAGGGGGCACAGGAGGCACGTGCCCCCCCCCCCCCCCCGTTCTGAGGGACCCGAATGGCTCCTCAAAACCTACGATCAAGGGCCTGATTTGAGGATCCGAAGGGCCCGAAAAGCCAGCCGGAGGCCTCATTTAGGGGCCCCGGCCCGCAGGGCCAGACAATCCAATGTAAGCCAAAGAGCCCTGCGCGCTGGTCAGGAGCCCACTAAGTCGATAAGGGCCTGTATTTCGGTCAGACACCAACAGTAATCCACAATCGGCTTCGTGGCGGCATGGGCCTAAGGGCCCATTTTCCAAGCAGAGACAGAGCCGATGCCAGCGATTTGCATTGCTCGAGGCCCCACAACGCCTAACAGGGGCCCTGTGTTGTCAATGGGCCCCGAGTCAGTCAGAGGCAATGCTCGAGGAGGCCCGAAGGGCCTAGGGGGCCCAGCGGGTCCGACGATCAAGGGCCCGATTAGAGTTTCGAAAGTCATAAAGGGCTTATCGGAGTCTTATTTAAGGGCCCCGACCTGTGAAGCCGGACCCTCAAATAACGCCCAGAGGGCCCTTTGCGTCGATCGGGGACCTCTTGAGCCGATATGGGCATGTATGTCAGTCACCGTACCACATTGTCAGTGCTATGTCGGTATAGCCTGAGGACCCACTTCCCAATCAGTTACAAAGCCGGGGCCAGTGATTTGCACTGGTCTGGGGTCTTGTATCTGTCAGGGGCCCACAGCGCCTAACGGAGAGCCCTGTGCTCGCAAGGGCCCTGAGCCGACCGAGGGAAGTGTTCGATGAGGCCCGAAGTTCCGGTCGGTTCCGGTGGGCCCGGGCAGCCCGCCGTAACCGAGATCAATGGCCCGCTTGAAGAGCAGAAGAGCCCAAAAGACTGACTGTAGGTAGTAAAAAGAATTGCGGCCTGTAGGGTCGGGACGTGAAATATCAGTCAGAGGCCCTCTTGCACGGTTTGAGGAACCTCTGAGACAATGCGTGTGTTTAGTCAGTCAGAGACCACGAACAGCGAACAGCCGTCTCTATGTCCATCTGAACCCTTGATACCCATTTCTTAAGCAAAAACGAGGTCGGGGTCCGCGGTTTTCAATGATCGGGGTCCTTGACACAATGAGGAGCTCCTGTATCGGTTAGGAGCCACAGTGCCTAACAGGGGCCCTGTGGCAGCAAGCGACCCCAAGTCGGAGCGGTGCTTGAGGGGACCCGAAGAGGGATCGAAGGGCCTCTCGAGACCAAAGATCAGCGGTCCGATGGGACGACTGAAGGGTCTGAAGGGCTGTCAGTAGGTCACATTAAGGACCCCGCCCCTAGGGCCGTGATCTCAAATGCCAGTAAGATGATCTCTTGCACCGATAGAGACTCCTGAGACAGAGCGTTCCTCTATCTCAGCCAAAGATCATAAACAGCGAACAGTCGGCTGATCGGTTCGTCTGATCTCTGGGGGCCCATTTTTCAAACAGGAACAAGGCCGAGCCCGCGATTTGCATTGGCCGGACTCCTGTACCATTCAGGGGCCCGCAGTGCGTAACAGGGTGCTGTGGTCATTCTGTGCCAACAAGGGGCCTCGAACGGTCAGGGGAAGATTTGCTGAATAGGGACGGGGACGGGAGCCCGAATAGCAAAGGGCCTCTTGCGTTAGTCGGGTACCTCTGACGAGAGAAACATACAAACTTACCATGAGTGCTCACATTGAGGTAATAGTGGAGTTCTGTACCAATCAAGGCCCCCAGTACCGAATGGTGGGGCCTTCAACCACATCCACTGGAGTCTATACTCCTACTATTTGACCACCTGCGAGGAGCAGATATGTTTTTGCGTTAACGACGGCTCATGCGTCGATCCGGGGTCAACTGCGCAGGTCAGAGGGCCTCCCGCGTCAGGTGACGAACCAATGTGACATGATGTATCCCTCTACGGGCCTCCAGATCGGCCAGAAGATGCCGCCCCGTGTCACCAGAATGACGGCCGGAAAACGCACCGCGGTGGCACAGAATGGCCGTTCACCCCTTGACCGAGAACAACAATGTGCCCCGTAGTGTTGTACTCAAGGGGCCCATTTAACGGAAAGGAATAAGGAGCCCCATTAGTGTTGAATGAAGTGGGTCGAAATGAGTT